ACCCCCATCCACACACACTCACCACACCACACCACACCACCGCTGCCGCCACCACTGCCACCACCACCGCCACCACCACCGCCGCCACCGCCGCGCAGGAGGCGGAGCTTCTCGTGGAGGGCCCGCTCTCCGCACTCCGCCGCTCCAACGTCACCTTTGCGCGCCCTCGCCCCGACCGCCCCTCGGACCGCCTCTTCGCCGGAAACGTCGGCGCCTTCTCCTCGCAAGGCCTCGGGGACGGCACGCCCCTGCCCGGCCTTGGCGGCGGCGGCCGGCGCGGCGGAGGCGGCGGGTACGGCACGCAGGGCTCGTACGGCTACGGCTCTCAGCGCTCCGAGTCGCAGCGCTCCGACCCGTACGGCACGCAGGGCTTCTCGGGCCTCTCGCTCGGGGACGGCTCGCAGGGCAGCGGCTTCGACTCGCAGGGCGGCTACGCGGCGGGCGGGTACGCTGGCTCGGGCTACGGCTCGCAGGCGGGGTACTACTCCGCAGGCGACGAGCGCAGCGTCCACCTCTCCGGCTTCTCGCAGGACCCGCCGCACCCGCCGCCCCAGCCCTCGCCGTCGCCACCACTCTCGCCACGTATGCCCTCGCCGTTTTGCCCTCGCCGCCACCACTGCCCTTGCCACCACTTGCCGCGCTGTCTCCCCCCCCCACCCCCCACCACCACCGCTCTCCCGCACCCCGCAGGACTCTGCGTCGGGCGCCTCGTACTCCGGCTTCTCCTCGCAAGGCGACGAGTACCGCTACGACGACGCCTACTCCTACGGCGGCGGCTACGCCTCCCAGGGAGGCTCCCAGAGCCAGGGCGGCGGAGGAGGGAGCGGGTACTCGTCGCAGGCGTCCGGCTACGCGTCGCAGCACGCGTACGCCTCGCAGGGCGCGTCGCAGCCCTCGCAGCCCTAAGAGCGAAAGTAGCGGGAGCTCCGGACCCCACCCCCCCCTCCCTGACGGGCGAGGGGCAGCGGCTGCGATGCGACAGCGACTGCCCCTGAGGCGCGCGCGCCGCGGCGCGGCGGCCACCCCGGCGGCGCCTCGGGAGGTACAGGCGCGGCTCCGGCGCCCCACGCCCAGCGTGGTGGTCACGAGGGAAGGAGCGGTGGCCTCGTCTCGTGCGTTGGCGGGCGGCGAGGGACGGCGGCGAGGAGGAGAGCCAGGTGGGAGCCGGATGCGGGCCCCGTGGACGGAGGCGACGGTGGCGAGGCGGCGGCGGCGAGGCGGCGAGGCGGCCTCGCGGAAACGGGCGGCAGAGGCTCGCAGACACACACGCACGCGTTCGCGGGCCGTTGAGGCTGCAGCCGCGTGGCGCCCCTTTTCCATCCGCGCCATCGGACAGGCCCCACATGCGCCCTCCCACTCTCCCACTCCGCTCTATCTCAAGCCGCGCCCGGGGATGGAGTAGTATGATGTGTGTACTCTGCTGGCGATGCAATCCTTGGCCACTTGGGGCCCGCCTGCGTAGTGGTGCGTGCGGTTCCAGGACCCAGCGGGGGGCCGCGTTTGTGAAGCATTTAAATTTCTGCACGAATACGGCTTTATAGCCAAGGGCAAGGCTTTCAATCTTCATATCGAGTAGAGGAAAGCGCATCGACGTAAGGCATCGTTGGTGGGGGAGAGGGGGGGACCGAGTCCGAGAACCGAGTTGCGCGCGCAACGTCATTCATCACACATCAGACATCAGTGGTGATCAGAGCAAAAGCAGAGGCACACATGCGAGACATGGCCAGAAGCGCCGAAAGGAAAACCATTCACAGTCCCAACACACCCCCGGGTCCACCTGCTTCAATCTCATGCCGGAAGCAACATGCCAAAATGTGCGCAATGCCAATGCGCAATCAATGGCAATCGGGCCAATGCCAAAGCCCAAACGGATCTTCCTCCGCACGATCGATATAGAGAGGATCTATTTACGAACAGAAAAACCCACGCCGCACAGACTTGAGCGTATCAACATTGAATTGGGTGGAAAAAGCATGGGCTGCCAGGCCACGTGGCAACTCCGCGCGCGTCCCGAAAAAGCAGGGCGAACTGGCTAGTCGCGGCGGGCGATTCTGCCCGACAAAGTGGGGACGGGCGACTGCCACGAAGCCCAGGGAAGGCACAGGGCCACATGAGATACGACCTTCAGGCGGACTGTGGCGCACTACCGGGAGATTCGTCGCAGAGGCAGCACAACACTGACGCGCTGAATGCAGCGCTCGAGCGGCTGCAGCCCGGCGACTCGCTGGTGGTGACCGAGGGCGAGACGTTCCACCTCAACGGCGGCGTCCGGGTCAAGCGGCTGCGCGACGTGTCCATTGTCGTCGATGGAACGCTCTTTTTCTCAGCGCCCATCCGTGAGTGGCCGGGACAGCCACACTGTGCGGAGTGCCCGGCGGATGCGATGGCATTCCCACGAGCGCGCAACGTCACCTTCACGAGCAGCCGCCCCGGCCTGGTCGGCACGCTTGATGGCGGCGGTCCCAAGTGGTGGGGCTACCCATGGATTGGGTACGCCGTGCGTGGAGAGAACCGACCATTTCTCTTCACAGTGGCGGAGGGGAGGGACGTGCTGTTCGAGCGGATCCTGCTCAAGGATGCTGGCTTCTGGACCGCCAAGTTCTACCACGCCGATGGCCTCGAGATCCGCGACACTGCGGTGGTGGCGAGGCGAACGATGGCGCACAGCCACACGCTGCTCGACGCCTCTGCCTTCAACACCGACGGTCTCGATGTGTCGGGCCGGAACGTGTGGATCCACGACGTGCAGATCTGGAATCAGGACGACTGCATCGCCGTCAAGGACTCGAGGGACGGATACAGCGAAAACATGCTCATCGAGCGAGTCAACGCGTCCGGCACCGGCATCGCCATCGGCTCGATCTCAGGCACGCACGTGCGCAACATCACCATCCGCGATTCGTATCTCGACCGCACCTGGAAGGGAATATACCTCAAGTTCCGGGGCTCCGGAACGATGAGCGACATCCTCATCGAGAACGTCACCATGGACGCGCCCGAGCAGTGGCCCATTTGGATCGGACCGGCGCAGCAGTCCAGCCCGGGCGCCTCAAAGTCGGGCGTCTCCAGCTTCGATGACCTGCTCGTCCCAATCTGCAACGCCAACCCGTGCTCGCTCTGCTGGCCTGTCGCCTCTAGCTGGGTGCCGGACGTGGCGACGTGCAACGGCGTCGAGAACGGTGTCTTTCGCAACATCACCCTGCGTGACATCACCATCAACAACCCGGTCTACTCACCTGGCGTGCTGCTGGGCGACCCGAGGCCGGGCCACGGGATGCAGAACGTGGTATTCGACGGCGTAAGGGTACGTTACACGTGCGACGCGCTGCCGCCGTGGTCGGAGACCTTCTCGCAGCTCCCGACCCGCGTGTTCGACGAGGGCGTCCTCCACTTGGCCCTCACTATCGTGGCCGGCCTGCTGCTGCTGCTGGTCCTGCCGGTCGGGCTCTGCTGGCGCGGCGGCTGCTGCGCGCGCTGGTGGCGGCGCATTTGGGGTTGGGGCGGCGCTCGCGGCGGAAAAACGTTTTGGGCCCGGAAGGCGCCAATGGGCTGCAGCACCGGGCCGCAGGTGGTGGTGGGCGCCGCCACCGGGGTGGGCCTGGTGCTGGTGCTCGCTCTCGCGTGGGCGCTGGCGGGGCGGTACATTGCCGATGAGGTGGAGCGGATGCAGGCAGCCGAACGAGAGGTAGCCGAGAGACAGGGCCGGCGTGCAGCCCTAGCCGAGGTGAAGCCGAGGTGTGGGGGAGGAATGCCCACGCAGCTCCTCACCACCGCTTCCGCCGCGCACCATTGCAGGAGACGCGCGAATGGCACACCTGCAGCGGCGTGCAGAGTGGCGTCGCCACCGGAGACACTTGGCCGGTGCCCCACTGCTTCGAAGACCGAACCACCGGGCGGGGCGAGCCGGAGAGGGTCACCTGCGGCCTCAGCGCCGGCGCGACGGCGGCGGTCGTGCTGGTGTCCCTCGCCGTGACCATGGCCGTGGTGACCGCCCTGCTCGTGCTTCGGCGCCAGCGGCGGGCGCGGCTCCCCGACGCCGCCGGCCTCGTCAACCTCCTCCCGCCAAAGCAGCCACAGTCGGGCCTACGGGCGTGCAAGGAGGAGGGCGAAGCTGACCAGCCCCTGCGGCGGCGCCCCTTTTTGCTCCGCAACCGGGCGATCCGTGCGTCTCTTACACCTGGACCTGTGATACAGGTCTGTCTTTGTGCAGTGGTTCTGCTCCAAGCCGTCGCCCGTCCCGGCCGTTCCGGGCTTGCCGAGCGCGGCGCTGCACGCCGCGAGGCCCGCTATTCGCCGGCGGCCATCGGAAGTTCCTATGCTGGCGCAGCAGGCCGAGGTGGAGGCGATGCGCATACCGTCACCGAGGGATCGATTGAGCCTCGATCTCAGACAGCCGAGGAGGAGCCTCAGCTCGTGCGCACAGAGTGCTGACCGTGGCCGTCCTCTCTTCACTTTGGGGCCACACCGAGTAGGTCCGAGGCGGCATCGATACAGAGCCTGCGGGAGGCGGTGCTCGAGCTCCGCCCGTCACCCCGGAGCTCGCACTCGTCAGCGCACTCGCTGGACGCCTAAGTCGGCGTCCGTGGGCTTGTGATAGAGCGACAGCCGGGCTGCGTGCGGCGCACGAACGTGGTATTTTGGTCGGTGGTCGTCGCGATGTTTGGTTGGGGAGGAGCGGGAGCGCGACGCGATTGCCGTTGCTGGTCCGGGGGGGTGAGCGAGCGAATCGCACTAGGCCTGCGCGCTTTTCTGTCACTTTCTTCCCGAGGAGCGCGCGACAGGGATTCTTTTCGGTGTACCTGTGTTAGTGCCAGTGCGAACCCCCAGCGCGCAGGCGGGGCCCACGGTAGCCTCGTGCACCTCCGTGCAGTACGCGATACCGAGAGTCTCCGAGACTCTCGCCGAGAGCTGGGGGAGAGGCGCGCCACGCCAAGGGGGAGAGAATGGAGGGGGGAGAATATGCGTGCTCGTTTTTCTTCGAAAGCAATTTTTTTTTTAGTGCCAGTGCGTTCCAGTCCCGTGCCCAGTGTAAAAGGAAAGAGAAAGATCTAGACAAAGAGACGAGCTCTTCCAGGCGTGGACAGGGATGGCGAGAACCGAGATACGGCGAAAGGACTTGCCGGAGGAGGTGGTGGCTATGGCTTTGGACCTTTGCGAGAGGTGGCGAGCGGAGCAAGAGCGGTGTAGGCGCGTCCACGCGGCGCAGCGGCTCTCCCGCGACCCCGGCCCCTCTCGTAGCCGCAGCCGTAGCCGCAGCCCCAACTCTTGCCGCTCTTCTGTGTCGGGTTGTGACGAGGGGTGAGGGGGGACACGGATTGAAGATCCCTCACACCAAGATCGTGCAGGGCGGGGACACATGTCCCTAAATCCCATCTCGTGTCAGAGTTTGACGTTTTATTTATTTATTTCGCGTGATATCGCCCAGCTCGAATCTGTCACGTTCCTGTGGGTACCGAGCCACGCGGCGAGCACGCGGGGTGCGCTAGCAACGCCTACGCCGACGCCGCGGCGACGGCATACATGGGGGCCAGCGAGATTGAGGATGCCACCGCCGTCATCCGTGAAGCAGTGAGGACACGCCCGTGCCTGTACACGGACCGCCGGAGGACGGCAGACAGAGAGTGGGGGCGGGAGGTACTGGACCGGAGGACCTATTACGCCACACGCGGCCACACGAACGAGTGGGTGCGAGGACGGCTCGGTGAGGGGCTCACGGCGGGGTCGCACACGGCAGGGTTGACGGGGCCGCTGTGGCAGGGGAACGACGAGACACAAATGGGACAAGCGCCAGCGGATCAAGGATCAGCACGGCGAGCGCGAGATTGAATTCGCCGACGTGGATGATCACAACGTGGTGACAAAGACCGTCACGGGAGCGCGGGTGCGGCAGCAGGCGGGGGTGCCACACGGAGCGCACCACGAGAGGATCATGCGGGGAGAGGCGGGGAGAGAGACCCCCCGGGCGCCGCCACAAGGAGCGAACTCAGGGGCTGCCTCGTCTGTACGGCCGCGAGGGACGCGGCGAGGAGGGCAGCACCAATGTGGGACCCGCTGTGTCCGATCGTGCGGAAAGCCGCGCAGCGATTGACCGAGGAAGATGAGAACCCACCTAGAGCGACAATGGCGCACGTGGAGCAGGCCAGATGGTTCCTCAGAGTAGCGCGAGCGCAGACGGGGACGGCGATCAGCAAAGTAGCACAGGCGGCGCCCGACTCCAAGGATACGCTGAAGACGCTGAGGATAGCGCATGTCGCTGCGCTGAAGGGCTCACGCTATAGGATGCTGGATGAGGACGGGTACGATGCAATAGCCCCTGCCGTCGGGGGGGTGTTACCGGCGCTGGTAGATGATCTCTCGGAGAAGAGTCGGAGGGACCTTGGCGCCGGGGTCACGAGGAACTTGCAAGTCGTGGCCGAGGCGGCGACGGGAGCGGTGCAGAGGTGGAACCAGCTCAATGATGAGGCTACGGCGCGCATAATGAAGAGAGAGGAACACATCGAGTGGCTGAGGAAGCTCTTCGCTGGGTGGAAGGAGGCCCGCCCGGCCTTGAGGGAGTCGCGGAGGAGGAGGGATAACGCAGGCAACGCAGGGACGGGCCAACAGCCAGTGGGACGAACGAGGGCCGCGACGGCGGCTCAAGCGGGAGGGAGCGGCGACAGTGGGCAGCGAGCGAAGTGGGTGAGACTGATGATGCTCCTTCGACTTAAAGAGCGGTTCAGCTGCTGGGCGGGCTTCAGGGTGGTGCTCACGCGAAAAGGAATCGACGCGATGTACAAAGCATACAAGAAGAGAGAACACAACCCCCTCTCTCTTTTCTCCCAGTAAGCTAAAAGTACGTACGTACAAGAAGAGAGAGAAGGGATCTTCGGCAAACGAAACAAGTTCAACCTGCTTCTCCACGAGACATTCGGCGGCGGCTTCTCGCCGCCTGCAGTTGCAAAGATCAACCGCCTTGCGCGCAAGGCTCAACGCTCGGGCGTTGACCGCACCGCGTACCCTCCCCACTCCCGCCTCTCATTTGTGTCACACCACGCGGAACGCATCTCCATCGCTTCGGTGAAGGGGGTGAACCGTGCCATCCTCGATCGCCGTGCTAAGCTCGCTTCCGAGCTCTCACGCCGCGCGTAGGGCCCCTAGGGGCCTAGAGAACACAACCCCCTCTCTCTTTTCTCCCAGTAAGCTAAAAGTACGTACGTACAAGAAGAGAGAAGAGAGTACGTACAAGAAGAGAGAGAGAGCTAAAAGTACGTACAAGAAGAGGAGAAAGAAGAGGAGAGGCGCCAGTGATGACGAAGCAGAAGCTAGTGCAGACGAGGGCAGGGCAGACCCGGGGGCGGCGGAGTCGGACCAGACGGCATCGGCCGTCGAGGGAACGTTGGGAAGAGGCACGAGGAGGGCGGCGACCTCGACCGACTACTAGTATGGAGGACCCGTCAACAGACGACGCAGGGCAGACGACGGGGAGGCGGAGCAGACGCGCAGGGGCCAGGGCGAGACGAGGGAGGGAGCAGGACTTATCTTTGCGGAGATCAGCAGGAGGATGTACGAAGAGATTAGGAGCAGCAGGCAGGGACCCGAGGGACCATGTGGGAGACGGCTAGTGCTAGTCCCCCATCGGGAGAGGACGACCCCGGCTAGTCGCCGACCACACCCACAAAGAACCCTGCACAAAGATCGCACGGGCGGGGACCTGTTCCTTTTTACCCATCTCACAGTAGAGGTGTCCGTTTTATTTATTTAAAGATCGCGAGAGAGAAGAGATCGCGTGCCCAGTGTAAATAAATAAAACGGCGCAAGGGTGAGAAGGACAGGGTCCCCACCTGCACGAGCAGGATCTTGGAATGGCGATGGGACACAGGGGAACGGGAGCGGGGAGCGCATCGCAACACGGAGGGGGGCTGGGCGGGTTCACCCACCGACGTGGGCACTTGCTCCATCGCCCGCGCTGTCAGCCTTTTAGAGAGAGAGGTTTTTAGAAGCCAACAAGAAATGTGGCACCCCCAGTGATTTGGGCTCGACTAACGAAAATGTCTTCTCTTCTTCCTTAGCGGCCCATGCCTCTTTGGAAGAACCTTTGGGCTCAACCAGGTTTGCCTCTCGCACCCCGTCTGTTTTCCTTTCCTTTTTTCTCTACAGCACCCTCTCTTTTCCTCTCTATTTCCCGGGAAAACTGCGTGGAAATCGTCAAATTTTTGGCTCTGAGCCGAGTCTGAGGCTGGTTTGGGCCCAAAATCAGCCAAATTTTAGGTCAAATCGGCAAAATGCCGGGAATTTCGCGGAGAACCCTGAGGGAGGGTGTAGAGGATGTATGTAGGAGTGTAGAGCGCTGTAGAGCTGTAGAGATGTAGAGCGCTCTGGAGCGCTGTAGAGCAATGTAGAGCTGTAGAGCTCTACATCCACCGCGTGACGAACTGCCTCCGTTGTAGAGCGATGTAGAGGCGCTCTACAACGTGAAATCTCTACAACAAACTCTACATCATAAGCGGCGAACGAGGCACGGTCGCTCTCCGACATGAGGCGCGTTGCACTAGCCAGTGCTGCCCTGGCCTTCTGTCTGCCCGCCCAATGGGTGGCAGGTGCCTCTGCTGCTGTGGCATGCCTCGCGGCTGCGACTGGCCGGCGCCTCGGCGCGTCAGCTCGGCTCGGCGTAGCGATCGTGGCCAGCGCAACTCGCTGGGACTCAACGCTCAGCCAGGAGCTCCCGCACGCGCTGGCGCGAGTCATGGCGCATGCAACGCGTCTAAATGCTCGCCTCGCCTCGCGCAAATGCGACCGTCCTCGCAGCCGACAGTCCACCGCCTGCTAAAGAAGCACAGCGACGAATGCGGCACCGGCGACGCATGGCAGGCTGGTCATGACGCAGTTATAGGGTGTTGTGTGCCGTCAGAGTGACTCTCTGTGTGTCAGGGATAGTCAGGGCCGTCCATCAGAGCTCCAGTAAGCTCGGAGACACCCCATTAGTGCGACTCGACCTCTTTGAGTCACTGCCTTCCCGGCGGTTTGGCTGTAGAGCCTCTACAACAAACTCTACAACAAAATCGCGCTCTACATCGCTCTACAACGGAGGCAGTTCGTCACGCAGCCGATGTAGAGCTCTACAGCTCTACAGCGCTCCAGAGCGCTCTACATCTCTACAGCTCTACAGCGCTCTACACTCTACATCCTCTACACCCTCCCTCAGGGAGAACCCGTGTATACCTGGAAATTACCCTGCGACCGCCTGGGTATTTTGTCGATTTCCTCAATTTTGCCTCAGATTTTGCCCCAGACCAGCTCTCAGACTCAGGGAAACTCGCGAGTTTCCAGAATGGAGCACCAAACACCCTCTGTTTTCCCTGGAAATTTCCGGAAACGCAAAGTGCTGGGGACCCTCTGTTTTCCTTTTTGTTTTCCGGAAAACCTGGTTGAGCCCAAAAGAACCTCTCGATGGGCTGGGCAGGTCAAGGCAAAGGAAGAGCGTCAAGGCATGCCCAGTTGGCGCGAAACAAAAAGAAACCGGGCGTATCCGCCACCCGTGATCAGCGGCATACCGACCTCGAGCGACGCTGACAGGGTTGCGCTCCTGACAAGGGATAGCGACAAGCTCGCAGCCGGTGGCGTGCCGAGTAGTGTGGGAGAGAGTGTGTTGTTTCGCTAAGTCGCTGTGATGTTGTCCGCGCTCCTCGCGCTCGCCACCAGCAGCCGCTCGCTGCCGCCGCCGCCGCTCCAGTTCTCGGCACGCATCGTAACGACTGCGCACCAGCTCAACGCCACCGACGACTACCCGCCGCGCACGCGCCAGCTCACCGTCTACTACGACTTTCCGGCGCGGCGCTCTCGCGTCGATTACGACGGCGTGGCTCCGCACGAGCCTCCAAAGGCGTTCGTGCGACGATACGACCTGCAGTTCGAGTGGAGCGTGCTCGAGCTGGGCGGCGAGAAGGCGTGCCAAAAGTCACGGCTGCGCGAGGCGATGCCGATGCCGCGGTGGCCGGAGGCGATGAGGCTCGTGGGAGACGAGATGGCGCGAGGCCGGCGGTGCGAGCGGTGGCGCGAGGACCACGGCGAGGAGGTGGTCGAGCTGCTCGTGGAGCGCGACGGCGGAGCGCCCGTCCGGCTGACCACACACATCGTCGATCCCTCCTCTCCAGACGGAGAGCGGAGCCCGCTGCTCTCGTACGAGGTGTTGGACTTTGAGCCGGTGGGCTGTAGCCAAGGGGAGGCGGGAGAGGGGCGGGGGAGGGGCGGACGCGCGCGACCGAGATCGGGCCGGCCTCACCACCTCTGCACTCTCGGCAAGCCCAGCAGCCTTCTAGCAGAGCCTTCCTCCTCGAGCGTTTGTCGACCCCGGCCGCAGGCGGCGCCGCCCGAGGAGGCCTTCCGCATGCTCGCTTCGTCCACCTCGCCCGTCTTCGAGGGCGCGGGCGCGCTGCGCGTGGAGCAATGCGAGAGAGTGGCCCAGGAGATGGGCTTCCCCTACATCCACTTTCTGCACTCGTACTACTATACGTGAAAATCTCTTTTGTGATTCGAGGAGGCGATGATCGATGTAACAGATTCTTGTTTTTAGTAATTATATAATAAAATTAACCCATAAAATGGCACCGCATAAACGCGCGAGAAAAAAAGAGCCACACACTGTGTGTCACAGACGACTCTCGTCGGCTCTTCTAAAAGCACAATCCCGGGCCGAAATCGCAGTGACAGTCAGACATGCAAGCCGGCTCTTCACGAGCTGTGAAATACCCCCAGCCGAAACGAAACGAAGGAGAAACGTGAAATGAGGCGGGGGAATCAGTGCCCAAGTGGGCGCCGTCGCCTCTCGCTATATTTGCACGGGGAGCATGGGGAACTGCACCAGCCACCCGCATCACGAGCCGCAGGTCCACTTCGACACGGTGGACGGCATGGCGACGGTCAAGGCCTTTGCCGGCATTCGACAGGTGCCAAGAGAGAGAGAAGAAGAAGAGAGAGAGAGATGCGCACGATCGGCACCGTACACGACGTCTTGGGCGAGGGGGTTTCGGTTGCACCCCACCCCGTGCAACACAGACAATGCTCCCTACTTGCTCCCACAGGTGACGATGGGCGTGCTCCGCATCGACTACGAGTATCAAACCAACCTCGGCGACATCCTGGACCCGCGCTCCTTTGACTTCCGGATCATCTCGGCAACTGCTGAGGGGCTCACGTTCGCAAAGGCCAAGGCAGGCGACAAACTAGACGCCACTGGAAAGGAGCTGCTCGAGCGGGCGGTCCGGCAGCTCATCGACAACGGCGCAGACTTTATCGTCGGTGACTGCGGCTTCCTCGTGTACTGGCAAGTGATGGTGCGCGACTATGCGCAAGACTACGCCCAGAAGAAGTACGGGCGCAAGTGTCCCGTCATGATGTCCTCGCTCGTCCTCGCGCTGCCGCTCCTCGCCACCATCCCATCGGGCGGACAGATTGGGATACTGACGGCGAGCGAGAAGTCCCTTCAGGCGGTGCAGAAAAAGCTCCCCATCGTCATCGAGGACCAACAGAAGGAGGACGGCGGGCAGCGCTCGCGCAGCGTCCCAGCCGCAGAGGACCCATCTGGCATCATGATTAACTTCTCCGACCCCCGCTTCAAGGTGCCCTGCCCCTTTCCACGCCAGCGCGCGAGCCTGAAGCTGGGACGTTCACTCCGCTCCCTCACCGAACAGGTCGTCGGCCTCGATGAGGTGAAAGACTTCAAGCATGCGCTGGATGCACAGGGTGCGGACGCCGTGAATGACCGGCGCGACATCGCGGTTCAGATCGCGGCGTACTGCCAGAAGGTGCAAGAGAAGAATCCGCAAATTGCCGCGTGGCTGATCGAATGCACCGAGGCAGGCGGGTTCGCGTGGGCAATAAAGGTCGGCACCGGGCTGCCGGTGTGGGACCCCATCACGCTGGGACGGTTCCTCTCCCTCGGCTTCACTGCCAACGTCCCCAACGTGGCGCTCACCCTGGGACAGCACGGCGAAAACCCACTGGACCCGAGCGCAACGACCGCGGGCAAGGGCCGCTGCACCGGAGAAGAGCCAGGCCAGATCCACGCCCTGGGAGCCGAGTTCCAGGCGATTCGTGAGGGCACGCTCTGAGGCGAAGGGCTTGCTCTCCCGCACGCATACCGCGCACATGATCGGTGCATGGCATGGCTCTTGCGTTTCTGGGGTCTCGGTGCACATTGAAAAGCTGCGGGGTGCGCGGGTGCGGCCGGGGGAGCTCTGACTCTGAGACTGAGTCTGCCGTGAGCTGCGAGAGCAAAACTGAGTCACTAAAACACAGCGAGCGTGTGTCTGCAGTAGGAGTCTCTCTTTCCTAAGTCTTCGACGTGGATTCTTCGTTGGATATTCATAAATGAATGACGTTGGGGGCGGCGAACCCCCCATCTTGCATCTACAGATGATATGGCATATATGCGCATCTTGAGATAATATGCATCTAAGATACGCCCTACTTAGGAAGCACACTGTCTTGCCTAGAGCATCTCTAGATGGTTTTTTCAACTAAGATGCCGGAGCATCCTGGGATGCTCGAATCATCTGAAGATCGCATCTTTTGGGATGCGAAGCACAATGTGCTTCGCATCCCAAAAGATGCTCGGCATCTAATTAGAAAGTTAAATATAAAGACTTGAGCGGCGTGTGAGCCCTTGGATCAACGAGTTGGAGTGGAGACTATGAATCTATGCTAATTTCAGTTGCTATGCTAAGTGAGATGTGACTACTCTGTCGTCTGACTGTTGGAATACTACTGATGGTGATATGGAACTGGGAGCCAGTGAGTGATGGTGGGGGGGCACTTTCTTAGCCCTTGTGCTAATGCTGACTTTACTGCATGGACCCCGGTTGCGGTTGTATATGCAAGACTGGTTTTTAATTCGGGTTCGGGTTCGGCAAAAAACCGCCGACACTGTCGAGCGAAAATATTGGGAAAATCCGACAACGCGCTCATGTTCCTGAGATGCATTGCGCATCCTCAGATGCCACATTGCATCCTGGGATGCATGGACTAACCCAAGATGAGGGTATCATCTCGGCACGCTTGTGCCGTTGTGCGTCTGAAGACGACTGCAGTATCTGAGATGTCACGCGTGCACCTCGATCCTGTACCGTGTTTGTTATGAGCTTATGACCCCCCCCCCCCAATGAACACTCCAGTGAGGGTGGGCGAGACGATCGAGGGGTCCCGTACCACGCGGAATCGACCCTATCCAGTGCTCAAGTGCTCAAGATGTCACGGGCTAGAGGTATCAAAAGACGCAGGGCACCATCTAAAGATGATTAAATCTTCTCGCGGAGAACCCAATCATAGTGGAGACACCCGGTGTCCTTAGATGGAAAACGCATCCTAGATGGCGTTTGGCATCTAGGAGATGCGCATATCATCTGTAGATGGGGGGGTCGCCGCCCCTGACGTTTTGTAAAAAGGATGTATACGGCTTGGATGTGGGGTGCAAAAAATCGCCCCTTTCTGCTTTAACTCGTCTCCAGGCTCCCGCCAGCCGCCACCCGCGCGCTCAGCGCTATATCTCCCCCCCGGCCCATGCCCCAACCCGTCACCCAACCTCACACACCGCGGTGCCGATCATCGCGTCTCGTGTCACGAGGGTGGCGAGCTGCTTAAATCTTCTCGCGGAGACACCCGGTGTCCTTAGATGGAAAACGCATCCTAGATGGCGTTTGGCATCTAGGAGATGCGCATATCATCTGTAGATGGGGGGGTCGCCGCCCCTGACGTTTTGTAAAAAGGATGTATACGGCTTGGATGTGGGGTGCAAAAAATCGCCCCTTTCTGCTTTAACTCGTCTCCAGGCTCCCGCCAGCCGCCACCCGCGCGCTCAGCGCTATATCTCCCCCCCGGCCCATGCCCCAACCCGTCACCCAACCTCACACACCGCGGTGCCGATCATCGCGTCTCGTGTCACGAGGGTGGCGAGCTGCTCCGCCGACCAGCCGTCGGTCCCCTCGGGCCGCGCCGGCAGGACGAGGAAGCGCAGGTCCGCGGTCGCGTCGTGCACGGCGAGCCTATGGCCGAGACAGAGGCACCCGAAGCTTCGCGAGGCGTGGCTGAGGGCTGGGGCGACGCGGCCGGTGGCGCGAGTGCCGCGTGCTTCTAGGGAGGCGCAGCCCGAAGCCCTCCGCGAGAAGCCTGCGCGGCCGGCGCACCTGCAGACGCGTCGCGGACGTGTCGCGGACGTGAGGTGCCGCTCTCGAGGAGGGGCGTGGCCAGGTCGACGGCACCGCGCGCGCGCGGAAGGCGGCCGACTTGTACCACGTCGGCGCGGGTCCGAGGAGCGAAGCGGGGTAGCAGGAGCAGAGCGTGCACACGACCAAATTGTGTGTGGCGGCATCGTTCTCGACCACGACGACCTGCGTCGGCGCGTTCGGGTTGGACGCGGAGATGCCTAGCTCTGCGGCCGCCTGACGGGGAAGCGCAGAGAAGGCTCGGGGGAGGTCCGGCTTCGCGGCGGAGAACGTGCGAGCGCTGGAGCCGCCGCGTTGGCGTCTTCGAGCAGCCGCCGCTTGAAGGCCTCGTCGGTCCACGCAGTCGCCACGAGCGTCGCGCCGAGCAGGGTTTGGTGCGCCTGCTTGCACGCCCGGCAGGCGTGAGCACGTCTCTGCTCAGCGCGGCGACGAGCAGCTTGAAGCGCAGCTTGTAGCGCGCCGTCTCGAGGCTCTCGACGGTCTGGCGGAGCTGCGACGCCGAGACGAGGCCCTTGGCCACGGCGAGGCGACGGAGCGCCTCGTGGACGGCGGAGCCGGGCCGAGGATGTCCCTCCGCCTCGCAGGCCGCCCTCTCAACCTGCCGCCTGCTGCCGTGGGAGTGGCCGTGCTCATGGCTGTCCTCGCGCCTCCGCTGCTGCTGCGGTGCAGGGCGGCAGCCCGGCGCGTGAACCACGACGCCCTCCTCGCCGCCCTCCTCGCCGCCCTCCTCGCCACCCGCCGCCGAGGGCTGCACGGCCGGCTCCTCGAGCCACGTGCTGTACAAGTCGACCGTGACAGAGGTGTCCGCCTCCTCCGCCTCCGCCTCACTCCACAGCTCTCCGAGCCGGAAGCTCACTCGGTAGAGCGGCAGCGCGGGCGCGTCGTGGACGCCGTACGCGAGGAGCGACGGGTCTGCGAACTCGCCCATGCAGCGCTCGACCACGCCGGCGGCTCCGAACAGGTACCCTGGCGTGCGGAGGTGCGGCCTCCTACAAGGGTCGAAGCAGGATCCGCCGGAGGCTCGGGCCATCCGGCGTGGTGGTGCGGTGCCAGCCTCCACGAGGTGCGGTGCGAGTCCTCCTCCCGCACCCTCACCGCCTCGCCCACCACAAAGGCGCGCCCCTCTCCCGACTGCATCTCGCCGTAGATCTCCGCCTCGAGCTCGCCCGCGCCGAGATGGCCCTTCTCCCGGAGCAGAAGTGCGGAGGCTGCGCTGAATTTCTCATAGTAGCCCCAGTCCGAGTACGCCTCGGCGGCGAAGGCTTCGATGGTGCGCCGCGTCTCGTCGGTGGAGAAGAGACCATTCTTGGCTAGGCACGCGTACAGCGCGTGCGCCTCAACCTCCCATGCCTGCAGCGGCACGTCGGCAGGGATGGAGGTCTCGAGCAGACTGCTCTTGCCGCCGAGGTCGTGCTGCGGGCGGACGACGGCGGTGGAGGCTGCTCGCAGGACACGTCGCGGCCCTGCCACGGGACAACGCGCCGCGGGACATCGCGGAGCGACACGCACGAACATCCGGCCGACCAAGCCAGATCACCACTGGATTGTCAATAGATCGCTGAGCGGACTCGGGCCCGGTGCTTCGACGAGCACAGTGTGCTTCGTGGTAGCATGACTCAGATCGGCCCCCCGAGAGAGCCTCTGTGAGTCTTTCGCTAAGGCGGGTTAGCGCGGGTTAGTGCTCACTAACCCGGCACGGGTTAGCACGGGTCAGAATGGGTTACCATAACCCGGCACTAACCCGGCACTAACCCGGCACTAACCCGGCACTAACCCGGCACTAACCCATGCGGCTGGGGGGCATACGTCAGCATGGGTTATGGTAACCCGAGACTAACCCGGCGCTAACCCGGGTTAGTCTCTCCCTCGGACGGCTTGGCTGCACCTTGCCCCTTGGTGCTCTCCGCGGCAACGCCGTTATCGGTAAGTTGAGCGTGTATGGAGTGAGTCTATCGCGTATCGGTAAGCGCGGGTTAGCGTCGGGTTATGGTAACCCGTTCTAACCCGTGCTGACCCGTGCTGGGTTAGTGTGGCTTAACCCGGTGGAACCCACGGCTAACCCGCGCTTACTGACAGACTCACGCCTCTTCGACGCCCACGGGCCCGGGGGGTCGGAGGGGTTGCGAGAGGGCCCTATTTTTTGTTTGAATCCCGGACGGAGGCCGTTAGAACATGAATTGACGTTCCACGTGCCCGTCCACAGCCACGGACAACATGCGAGCCCAGCAGGCCGCTCCCACCGCCGCCCGCGGCGGAGGCAAGGCGGCAAAGGGTGGCAAGGGCGGCGGCAAGGGCGGTGGCAAGGGTGGTGGCCGTGGCGCACCAGACCCGCTTTGCGCCGCCGCCCTCAACGCCCGATACTCGGTTAGAGCCGGCGGAGCGACGGCGGCAAAGGTGCGGCCGCCGGCGACCTCACACGGTGTCGAGCGCCGTAGAGACGGCCCCGAGAGCCGCCACCAGGTGTGCCACGACCGCGGCCGCGAGGCTGTGGCGATGGATGCGCCAGACCCGCTTTGCGCCGCCGAGCCTCAACGCCCGATACTCGGTCAGAGCCGGCGGAGCGACGGCGGCAGAGTTGCGGCCGCCGGCGACCTTCCCCTCGACCACGCCGCCGACCCGTCGACAAGCACGCGTGGACTGCCATCGAGAAGAAGGAGAAGGAGGGCGGCGCATCCGGAGCCCGCGGGCGCGGCGTGGGCGGGCGCGGGCGCGGGCGGGCGCGCGGGAACCCCGCCAGCGGAGGCGACAATGCCTCTGGCGGCTCTGCAGGCGGCACGCGGCGCGCCCCTCGCCGGTCTCCCGCACGCTCCTGAGGGCCGAGAGGGCCGAGAGGCGGGGTCGATGACCCGGGGGCATGGGCGGTGCGGCCCGCGCCGCGCGCGGGCGCGTGGCAGCCCGTAAGTGCCGAGATCGGGTCTGTGCTTCGACGTAGCATGGGCCCCCGGAGGCCCATCTACACTTAGGGTACCCCTAGGCTTAAAAGGGTGGGCCCTGGGGTGCCTGCGGCTTAAACGGCTTAAAACCTGCCATGGCAGGTTTTAAGAGCTGCTGGGCCGCCGATTCCTTAAACGGTCTTAAACGCTTAAACGGTGCGGGAGAGCTCCCGAGGTCGATGGTCCGGGAGGCTCCCGGTAGACACGCCGGAGGCCGGGAAGCTGGCTACAGTCAGCTGGCACGCGTCCCCTATGCGAGTATGGCTCCCGCCAGTGCACCAGACTTACAGATGTGTCTTCAGTGGCGGGTTCGTGCCTAATAACGGCAGTATTGGAGAAACCGGCGCGGAACCCAGCGACGCATGTCGGTGAGGCCGATTTCTTAAACGGTCTTAAAAGAGGGACCCCCCGTGCCTGCAATCTCTTAAATGACAATTTGAGCCCCCAAATCTCCTCATTTCTTAAAAGGTCTTAAAACAATCCGGCCCTCAGAACCCTAGGGGTACCCTAAGCATCTACAGCAGCGGCGAAGTGAGCGTGTTTGTGGTGTTGGTGTGACGTCTGAGCTTGGATCTGTGACTAAAGCCGCTTACCACTGATGGATCCCCACCCGAATAAAACACAGTGAGCGCCCCAGCACTTCACTACGCCCTCCGCGCGAAATCGCTAGTGGTGCTTTGTGGCAGCACATTGTGCTTTGTGGCAGCACGGGGTGCGGTGCCCGAGACCGTGAGAGGTAGGGGGTGCTCCGTGACCCCTGGTTGTAGGTGTAGTGTTGGCAAAACAAGACACAGAGCTCACACAGAATCACAGCGGGAGGAAAGCGGCGAGTCGCAATTCCTGGGGTCCTTGTGGCGGGCCACCCTGTCCAGAGAGGCATGGATGCCAATCTGGGGTCTTTCGACCGAGTCTATGAAGCCCTGGCCGCCTCCCGGTGGTGGCAAGGTCGTAAAACCAAGCAATGGAGATGGTGCGGGAGCGTACGGTTGTTCCAGGGGGGCGTGACCCCTGGTGTACTCACTCGTGACCCCTGGATGGGTGCCCCATCAACGGGACAGGAAGAAGCATGGCTTTTTGGACCCACTCACTCACACTTGTGCACACCGACCGACGGCGAGGTGCTGGCTACTAGTTAGTAAGGAGAGAGAGAGGTCCCAAGCGCCCAGGCACCCACCCACAGGCAAAGAAGGTGGGGGTGGGTGCGAGAGCTCGTTGGTGGTTCGGGGGCTGCTCAGCTGAATCCCCTCCATTTCCTAGTTGGACCTCAGATCGCCCGCCCGCGTCCCGGTAGATCCCGGTGCTCTGCCAATATCTCTCTCAATCTCACTTCCTTCCTTCTTCATTCAGTTTTTTAATATAGCTAACTAACTAAGCCAGGGGAGGCGATGCCAGCCGTACCGCAGCTTGCTGGTGCTTCACCGGCGTGCGTCCCGGAGCGGTGCCGGACGGGCGGTCCGGGGGAGAAGATATCGGCATAAAATAAGGGCTTTATTACACTACATCATCAAACAGAGACAGTCGCACGTCCCGGTGCGGTGCGCGACTGTCCGAGCGGATTAGTTATTGTGTTCACGCCGGGGTCGTGTCCCGATTAACCTGGGCAGACGTTAGGCCGCGACAGTACGGTAAATGGACGGCTCCGTCCTTCCGCTCGTGCTCCCTTTCGGAGTCTTCACTGCCGTATACCTGCTTCTCTACTGGATCGTCGTCGTGAAAGGACGGGCCATTCCTTTCAAGGGTGTATGGGACAGCACTCAGCATTGGCAGTGGTACACCGGTGAGGGCATATCCTTCCTTTTCTGCTGCTACATGACCAAAGTGGAGCCGCCGCAGCCGGGCTTCTACACCCGAGAAGACCGCGAGGAGGTGCGGCGATACATTGCAGACCCGTCCAACCACATCGACGACAGCCAGACTATCGGTCTCGCCGCCGGGCAGAACCCGTTGGAGTTCTTCCAGCCTTACAAGGGCGGCCAAGTGTGTGTATAAGAGGGTAGATCTAAGCTCTGTCAGCATGTCCTCAGGCACAGGCTCAGGCCTCAACAGTCAACTGTGATCTGTGTCGTGTGTGTGCCCGCACCTGCCGTGTGCGAGCAAAAAAAGTTTGCGTGAGCCGTCACACACAACATCAGAGGAGCTTAAAATGCGCGAGATGACATGCTATTTTGATCTCTATTGTACGCTACATGAACCCCTGCTGCTGCTGCATCATGCTGTTCATCAGCTGCAACATCTGCTGCGACTGCTGCCCGCCGGCGAACGCGCCGCCGGCGCCGGCGCCGCCAGGCCCCCCTCCCCCTCCGCCTAGGCCCCCCGCCTGTCTGTCCGGCCGCGGAGCCTTGCACCGGTTGCACACGATTCTCATAGGGAAGTTGACGTTGGAGCAAGCCGGGCAGAGCCAGTTGCCATTCTCGCCCGGCTGAGGCGCGCCGCCGCCGCCCTGCCCGGCCGGCTGCGGGTTCTCGCGCCTCCCGTTGGGGCAGCGGTTCGCGTAGTGCCCCTTCTCCCAGCACTTGAAGCAAGTCACCGAGGCGAAGTCGCGCGCGCCACTGAGATCGCCGCCGCCGCCGCCGCCGCCGCCGCCGCCGCCGCCGCCGCCGCCGCCGCCCGCCGCCGCGTCGCCGCCTCCTCCGATGCCGGCGCCCGTGCCTCCGTACGTTGGGCCTTCGTTGCGCGGCGTGAGGACTGGCAGCGCAAACTGCGGGTGCGCAAACTTGCAGTCGGGCCCGTTGGGGCAGAAGCCTGCGGGGAGGCAGGGGTGAGGGGAGGAGGGCGGGAGTTGAGAGGCGGAGGCGGTCGAGAGAGGGGGCCGAGGGGCACGGCAGATGGTCCGAGGGCGAGGGGCGGAGGGGACGAAGGGGCGGGGCACCGGCGAGGTAGTGAACACAGACCGTCTTCCGCGTGTGCCGGTTCCTGCAGCGCGGGCCGTGCTTGCAGAAGCCGCGGTCGTACCAAGGGCAGTCGGACACCTGCCGCGAGGGGGCGCTCGTCAGCTGGCCCGCCCCAGAGATATCGGCCCCCAAGCGATGGGCCCCTGGCGCGTTAGGCCGGGACCGCTCCGGACTGTACGGCGTGCTTCGCGGCTCGGCGGCTCCGACTCAGAGCTAGGGAGGCGTGTGTCCGCATCTGCCTGGCCGGGCCTTCTCCTCTGTGCGAGTGTGCAGAAAGATGCAGTCCTTGTTGGTGCACTCGCCGTAGTGCTGGAAGAAGCTGCGGGCACCAGCCGGCAGGGTGAGAACACGCGCTGGCACCGAGACAGCGAGCAGCCGGTGGCGTGTATGTGGCGGGCGGTGTGGGCAGGTGGCGCAAGCGCGGGCAAACGCGTGGGCTGGGCGGGCGACGCACAGACACTGCGGCATGCGGGCCGGGTCGTACACGTGGAGGAAGTCGCAGTCGTCGCCGCGCTTGCACAGCCCTCGCAACCAGTGCTTGCACACCACGCGGTGCCGGCGTGGGTCGGGCGGTTGGTCGCTCGGCGCCGGCTCCTCGGCGGTCTCGACGCCGAGCATCTCGTCGAGGTCGAAATCGTCATCCTCGATCACGTCCATGCTGTGCTATACGGCTTGACCGCGCACGCTGGCGGCGGCAGCGCGGCGTTGTGGCGTCCTCTCTTTGGCCCGCGTTGGGGTGACTCTGGCGCGGGCCAAAAAAAAGAGAGTCGCGCGCCTCGGCGTCATCGGAGAAAAGAAACTGCGTTCGTCCTATTGTTTGCATCTACAGAGAGTCTTCTTCTCCCCAGCGCACTGAGTTTCTTTCTGTCCATTCTCGACTGTGGTCCGTGCGCGTGAGTGATCCTCCTGTCTGGTCCCTGTGTGGGTTCTTTTGTGTTTGTGAGGTAATAACTGCACGCACCCCAGGCATATCGGCAGCGCGGCCCGCAGGGCGCTGACTTCTCATAGTCTTATCACCCTCCTGACTCACTCACCACTCTCTCTCGGTGAGAACGCCGTCGTGCGTCGAGGGTAACCCCCCTGTCTTCGTCCTCTCGCGGCGTCTCCCAACTAATACACGCCCGCGCCCTCCATGGGGCATGGGCGGCGCGAGGTAAGGGCGGCCCGGCTTGCTCTCCCACGCCAGGCCCGCGGCTCTCCCGCCAGTTTTAACCTCGCTTGCAGCAACCTCCCCCCTTCTAGGCCTCTCACACGAGCGGCGACGGGCGCCCGCCACGCGTCACCTGCGCCCGAGCAAGTTCAGGGTCAGGGGGAGGGGGAGGCGGGAGGGGGGGGAGGGGGTCCGAGGAGACGGTGCGTGTGTGTGCGTGTGCGTCATGGTGTGCGTACTTGTGTGCGTGTGCGCGTGAGAGAGAGAGAGAGAGATTGCATGTGTGACGCGCGCCAGGTAGAGTGCGCCGCCAGCGACGCCTGCCGCGCCGAGCGCCACGGCGCGCTCCTGGTTGGTCGCGAGGAAGTTCGCCGACGGCGGGGCCGCGGGCGGCAGCGGCGGCGGGGTCGACGGAGGGGGGGGCGAGGGCGGCGGGGTCGAGGGCGGCGGCGGCGGAGGAGGAGGGGGCGGCGGCGGCGGGGGCGGCGACGGCGGCGGGGGCGGCGACGGCGGCGGCATCGAAGGGGGTGGCGGCGAGGGAGGCGGGGAAGGGGAGGGTGGCGGCGTCGGAGGCGGCGTCGGAGGAGGAGGTGGGGGCGGCGGCGGCGGCGGCGGCGGCGGCGGCGAGGGCGGCGGAGGCGGCGGCGACGGGGGGAAGGGCACCTGCGGAACACGAGTTGCGCGTGAGGCGCGCAGTGTTGGGCTCACAATGGCGCCGCGGGGTGCGCACCGCATCGACGCAGCAGTGGTAGCTCTCGCAAGCCGACCTCGGGCAGCCGTTCGGCACGTCCTCGGCACTGTCAAAGTCCAAATTCTCGAACCACCCTGGCGTCTTGCAGCAGGCCTTGTCTGTGCCGCACGCCTAGGCTCAAGCAGCCCGTATTCCATAGATCGGACCGCCTATCCAAGCGACTGAGCCCACGCGCCTTGCACGGGCCCGCGACGCCGCCGCACGCGTCCCAGCAGTCCTCGAAGAAAGGCACGGTGTCGGATTTCTCCCGCAGCTCCTCTGTGCTCCACTCGGCGGCGCCGAGCGCGAGGAAGCCGATCGTGAGGAAGAGTGCTTTCATTGAACGAGCTCCGCGGTGTGGGGAAGAGAAGGCCGCTGCCAGGTTGAGGCGCCGATGAAAAAATCGCTTTCGCGCCACTCAGCCACGACAGTCTCAGAACACTGCGTGTGAGCTCTAGCTGGTGAGCTCACAGCTTAGGAGAAGAAGAACAGAGTGGCCACACACATCTACACACATACAGTGCATGCATGCTGCATCCCCCGGGCGGCGAGGAACCGGACGTGTGTGAGTGTATCCCCGCGTGCTACCCCAGGGCAGCGGCGAGGGCGACCCGCCCCGCACACACACCGGTGACGCCACTCGCAGAAAGGTCCAATTCCTGCGAGTTCATCCCCGGTGTGCGAGTTCATCCCCAATCCCCTCTACAGCGGCGGCGGGCACGGGATGGACGCAAAGCCGCCAAAGCCGCAAAAGCGGCAGGTCGGCTTGCCGCCGGCGTTGCACCCCGCCATGGGGGAGTCTGCGCAGCGGGGCTCGTAGTAGCACGTCTCGTCCACGCTGCCCGTGCACACGCCCGCGCTGCAGTCGGGCACCGGCGGCCGCGGCGGTGGGCGAGGAGGCGCCGCCGGAGGGGGAGGCGCCTCTGGCGGAGGCCTCTCCCGCAAGACTGTCGCGAGGGGCCTCCAGACCGTGCCGGGCGGGCAGTCCTGCCACCGCGCCGAGAGGGCGGTCGGAGGGCGGGACTTGGCGAGGGGGTACGACTCGCCGACGTAGCAGGAGCGGCACTCGGTTCCACCCCCCGCGGTGCACGCGAGCATCGGGACGGACTGCGAGTTGCGGTCGCGGAGCTCGGCGCCTGTGAGGGTGCGGGAGGGGTCAGAGACGCAGCGAGATGCAGAGCACGCGGCACATGGGTGCTCGAAGGGTACTCAAAGGGTACTCAAAGGGGGCGAGTCTGTCCACAGTGCACTGCGCTAGGCACTGAAGGGCACAGTGCTGAGCACACGCAACTGTGTGAGTCGCAGCGGGGCTCGGAGTAGCACGTCTCGTCCTCGCTGCCCGCGCACACGCCCGCGCTGCAGTCGGGCGGCGACGGAGGGGGCGGCGGCGGGCGAGGAGGCGCCGCCGGAGGGGGCGGCGGGGGGGCCGGCGGCGGCGAAGGCGGCGAGGGCGGGTCGATGGACCCGCAAGTGCGAGCGCGGCACATCACGACCTGGGGGGGTAGGTTGACGCGTATAATTATAATTGTATCTTAGCGTTGCCCACTACTACTGCATCACGACCTGGGGGTAGGCTGACGCGTCCGGGTCGTCGGCAGGGCGGTCCTCGAGGCACTCGAGGTCGCAGCAGCTCAGCCCTAGCAGCGTAGCAGGTGGGTGCACAAATCACACGCTCTCTCGAGTCGAGAGAGTGCGCACATACGTCGCGGCAGCCCGTCCTCGAGAGAGTGCACACATACGTCGCGGCAGCACGTCCTCGGGCTCGCCATTACTAGAGGCGCACTAGAGGCGCACTAGAGGCGCACTAGAGGCGCACTAGAGGCGCACTAGAGAGGCTCACCCGCCCGCGCGCGCTCGCCCCCGAACTTGTCCAGCCCCGGCGGCGTGCAGGGCGGCAGCGAGGGCGACGGCAGCGGCGGCGGCAGGGTGGGCGGGGGCGACGGCGGGTGTGGTGGCGACGTCGGCAGAGAGGGCGAAGCGGGAGGAGCTGTTGGTGGTGGTACCGCCGACGGCGGCGGCGGGGTTGGGTGCGGCGGCTGCGTGGCGCAGGGTATTGGCGTGCGGTCTTCGAAGCAAGTCGTGTCCGCCTCGTCGTCGCCGTCGAGGGTGTAGGCGCACGCGAACGCGACCTGTGGGGCGGGGCGGAGAGGCGGTGGAGATGCGGGCACGCGGTGTTGCGCCGCGTGAAAGAGGGGTGTCTCGAGAGTGTCTCGAGATCGCGTTTTGGGTGCGCTACTTCCCATGCGGAGTTCCGCTTCTGTTCCGCATCTGGCGTCGGGCGACAGAGGGCGAGGCGGTGACGTAGGCGGCGGTACAGCGGAGCGGGTTCCGGTTCCGCTCGGGCGAGGAGCAGCGCTCGGGAGGGTCGAGGGACCTATGGGGCGAGGAGAGGCGTCGGAGGGGCGAGGCGTCGCACGTGGTGCGGGGCTGAGAAGGGAGAGGAAGGGCGTTGTGTCCGAGCGGCTGTGGCCAGCCGGGTGTGTGTGAGGCGGTGAGGCGGTCAGGGCCAGGGCCAGGGTCAGGGTCAGGGTCAGGGTCAGGGTCCTGGGTCAGGGTCAGGCTGTGAGTGCGGTGAGTGGTCGCACCTCAGGTTGACTCTCGCGCTGAGCTCGGGTGCGATGCAGGGGCGCCCCCCCCCGCCCCCCTCCCACTCCCGCTCCCGCTCCTCATCCTCCAAGCCACTCAACGCCGCGGGGGAGACGCCGTCGACCTCCTCCCCCTGCTCGCCGCCGCCGCCAGCAGTCCTGCCTGAGGCCGGTCCTGAGGCGGGCCGGTCGGCAAAGGAGGCGGGCTCCGGAGGCGAGGCGGGCGGCAGCGAGCGGACGAAGAAGAAGAAGGCGGCGAGGAAGAGGAGGAGGGAGGCGGCGAAGCAGCGGTGGCGCCACACACCGGCCTCCCGCCGCCCATACCGCTTTGCGCCAAAAGGGTTCATCGAGAGCGGCGGCCGATGCTTGGGCACAACGCCGCCGTGAATGGCGACTGCCTGCACGAGGTCCTCCTTCTCGCACTCCGGGTCAATCTCGAGCCCCAGCCGCTCGACCATGCGCTCGAGCGCGCCGAACGAGAGGTTTCTGAGCTCCCCGAGCGAACGCCGCTCCTGCTCCGTGTAACACTCCTCGTCGACTGCGGTGGCAAAGTCGTCGTCGCCGTCGCCGTCATCGTCGCCTGGCACCCAGATGGAAGTGGGCGTGGCGAGAGGCGCCCGCTCCTCGGCCTTGCGACTCGCCTTGCCACGCATATACGGGTGTGTGTATGGCGTGGGTGTGCCGATAGCTGTGTGCTATCACACCCGCTCGGCGCCCGCCACTCGGGTAAGACGCCATCGAAGAAGCGATTTTTTATTTTTTCTCGGTCGTTGGGAGGGAGAGAGAGTCATCATCTGTCTAGCGTCCACCCATACCGCGTTGGTGTCCAGTCCGAGCCTGGCTGTTCTTCACCTTTCTACCTACCTACCTAGAGAGAGCCCAAATCACTGTGAGAGTCGTGATTTCTCTCGCGTTGGGGGAGAGAGATTTTTAGCAATACCAACCAAACAACTCTAACACTCACACGTCATTTGGGGTGTTTGTCGCGTTGGTGTCCGTCCGAGCCAGACTGTTCTTCACCTTTCTACCTAACCTCAACTATGTGTGTGACAAAACAACTAGAGTTGTTTGGTATTGCTAAAAATATCTCTCTCTCTCTCTCTCTCTGAGAGAGAGAGATTTTTAGCAATACCAAACAACTCTAACACTCACACGTCATTTGGGGCCTGGAGCCCTGTTCACGCGCGCGCGAGACGTGCAGACAGGGTTGCCAGGTGAGAGCGAATGGCGCGGTTCACGCCTCGCACAACAGAGAGAGAGATGCGCTCTGCATGGTGGGACATAAAAGAAAGCGAGTACTTGGGCGAGTAGGCCGTGCGGTCGACGCTGCCGCGCGCGACCTTGCGCGCGAGGCGGCGCAGCTTGAGAACGGCGGTGGGCGAGAAGCCGTTGTCTCTGCCCTGTTCACGCGCGCGCGAGACAAGCCCATGACCTAGCGGATGGGTTGGAGGGGGGGGCACCCAGGACGCGGCACAGACAGACGGACGGGCCAAAAACTCGCCAGCCAGGCCACACACACCCCACACGCGGTGCGCTTCTCGCACACCTCCTTCCAGCCCGAGAGGGCGGACGTTGTGTGTGTGTGTGTGTGTGTGTGTGTGTGTGTGTGTGTGTGTGTGTGTGTGTGTGTGTGTGTGTGTGTGTGTGTGTGTGTGTGTGTGTGTGTGTGTGTGTGTGTGTGTGTGTGTGTGTGTGTGTGTGTGTGTGTGTGTGTGTGTGTGTACTCACTCTCAACTCACACACTCTCACACTCTAGGAATCCTATAGGCACGGGACTGGCGCGCAATAGGGCGGAGCGGAGGGCGAGGGCGGAGGGCGGAATGCATGGGCGCCAGACGGGCCGAGGGAGCGGGTGGGGTGGAATGCACAGGGGGGGGGGGGATGGCGAAGGCGGAGGGCGGGAAGATGGGAGGAGGAGGGCGACGGAAGTTGGCATGGGCGGGCGGCGGGTGGTTCGGAGTGTGGCGGGGGAGGCGAGGGGTGGAATAGAGGGGGGGCGGCGGAGGCGAGGGACGGCGAAGGAGAGGGTGGCGGCGGGAGGGGCAGCGGAAGCGGGAGCGGCGATGGGAGTGGGGGGAGGGCGAGGGTGGTGGAGGCGGGCGAGGTAGGTGGAGGGCGGCGGCGGCAAGCAGGTGATCTGTGATCTGTAAGGGTCCGCCCGCAGGCGCATTTTGTATACCGAGGCGGTGCCCGGTGCCGAACCTGTCGGACCTTAAGACAGCATTGTAGATCCCTGGGCGAGGGTGATGGAGCAAGCAGGTGGCGAAGGCAACGGCGGAGGCGCATGCATGTCGGCGGGAGGCGGATGGCGAGGGGGAGGGTGGCGGCGAGCGGGTGTGGCGAAGGCAAAACGGCGGGGGCGGGGGGTGGCGGCGGAAGGCGGGTGGCGTGGGGGAGGGCTGGGCGGCTGGCGGGGGCGATCGGCGGCGTGAGCGGCGGCGGCGGCGGCATGCGCTTGCGCGCGGAGAGAAGCACGCGTGGATACAAGTGGATAGCGTGCGGCCAGCCGCCGCCGCCCCCCCAAACATCTCCCGGAGCTCCAAAACTATAAAAGAATTCTAAGAAGAAAGAAACGTCCGTGCCTTGGGCGGGCATTTGGTGGTGGTGCGCACTCTCGCAGCGCCACCGGCGCCGCGTCGGAGTGGCGGCCGCCACTCGCGTGGTGCGTTGAGGCCTCTCCGGAGAGCCCTTGTCACCACAGGCGGCCGCCTTCAACTCCCCGAGCGGGGCCGGCTGGACCCCGGCACGCTCGGCAATTTCCTGCGTGCTTTGCGTAGGGCCACAGCCCCTGGGCCAGCTGCTGTCGGGACACCTCAAGGCCGGCGCATGCGCCGGCGATGGACTGACCCAGCAGCTCAAGGGCTCGCACTCTCCTCACCACCGCGCGCGCGCGCTGCAGCAGGAGTGCCGCAAGTCGCACTGCGACAATATGCCGCACTGTCGAGCCGCACTGCGACAATATGCCGCAGCTGCACCGCTTCTCCTGGACAGCCATCGAGTACTCGATGGTCCACTCCGAGGGCGCGGTCAGCACCGTCTGAGAGCCGGCGCGGATCGCGGATGCGGCTCAAGGCTCTGCCGGCGGGTCTGTGGCCTGCGCTGGCGCCTGCCAGACTGCGGGTCCAAAGTACCCCGGCGCTCGCGCGCGCCACCGCCCCTGGCGCGGGGTGGGATATCAGTTCGTGAGTTCTGTGTCCCCGTCCCTGCGCTCCACCTTCTTCTCCGGTGTCAGTCCCTGAGAACCCCACTACATAGTGCCACCTCGTGAGCACTTGAGCACTGGATAGGGTCGATTCCGCATGGTACGGGACCCCTCGACCGTCCCGCCCTCCCTCGCTGGTGTGCTCATCCGGGGGGGTCTTAACAAACACGGTACAGCATCGAGGTGCACGCCGCTGAGGGACCCCTGAGGGTAGATCGAGAGGTGTCGTCCCCCCCTCTCCATCATCTCACAGGGAGACGTCGACGGCGATGGCGGTGTGACCGATCGAGCTACAAGAGGAGCTTGCTTGTTCAGCAGGATCAGGGTGGGCTGAGCAGTTCCTCACTTCCTCAATGGGTGAGCATCAGACCTCGGGCGGGTCTTCCCTTTCACCCATCGGCTCATGTGGATTCGAACCACGGCCGGGATGGAAGCTTCAGTGCCACCTCGTGAGCTGTCCTGCCTGTGAGCTGTGTGCTGTTTGGCCTTTATTGCTTTATACGTTATTCTTCCGATTCTATATTCTTTTTCGAAGCGATTTTCAGCGATTTTCAGCGCTCAGCGGGCGGGAATATAAAGAATATTTGAGAATATAGGCCCGATTTGGAGCTGTATTCTTGGCATATTATACCCTGTTTGGGACAAGAATACGGAAAGAATACGGGAAAAGAATATAGATAGTACTGGGCGAGAAAAACGTATAAAGGCCAATGTGCTGTGTGTCCAGCAGTCCGCGCCCGCCCGCTCCGCCCCCATGGCGCCGCCGGCCACTGCTGCGGCCAGCTCGCGTCGCGCACGCTCGCGACGTATTCGCGGCCGGCGGCATTGCGGCGTACAACCAGCCTCGGCGGCTTCACGCCTTTGCCTTGGCGGGGCGGCGCGGTCAGGTCGGCCTCTCCGTTCGCCTGGAAGCGCGCCTTCCGCTCGCGCCGCCCAGTGGCGTCCGACTCGTCAGTCACCTCCCACTGCAGCATGCGCGCCTCGTTATCGGGAAGCGTCTCCTTGGGCCACGAGCTCCGTAGTTGCGCGCGGACGCCCCCAGCGAAGGCGATGGCGTCGCGTGTCGGCGGGCCGAAGTAGCGCTCGTCCTCCTTGGCGAAGGCCTCCGCGCTGCCAGGCATCTCTCCGGCGAGGGCGTCGGCCAGCTGCACGGCGCCGTCCTCCGCAGACACGCCGCAGCAGCGCTGCCAGTGGTCGTCGAGCGCGGAGGCCTGCGCCTCGTGCTGAAGGAGGCAGGCGTGGAGGGCGGTGGCGTTCACCACGGGATCGTCGTCGCCGTCCGGCCCGGGCTCGAGGAAGGCGTCGAAGTCGTCGTCCGAGCAGTTGGCCACGTAGAAGAGGACGTGGCCGTGGCAGAGGCGCCGCCTCGACGGGTCCGAGCACGAGGAGCAGCAGCATGCGAGAGAGCGGCCCGCGAGCTCCCGCCGGATGCGTGCCGCGAACGCAGGGCTAGCCCGCAGCAGCTCAGCAAACTCCTTGACGCACGCCCTGCGCTCCTCCGAGTTGTTGGGATTTCGGAGAGGGAAGGGGTTGCCGAAGGAGAGCGCTGCGCACTGCTCGCCCAGGTCGAACCCGGACCCGCGCCGCGGGGCGAAGCAGCTCTGAAGAAAAAACCGTCTGGGACCGACCGCACAGCCTCCCTGGTGTCCGCGCAGGCATAGGTGTGTGTGAGACAGCCAATGCGCCGGTGGTCCGCGCGGGCATAGGTGTGTGTGAGACAGCCAATGCGCCGGTGGCTTGACCGCTCACTTCGCAGGCGGCCGCAGCTTCTGCACGGGTTCATCGGCGGAACGCTCGGCGCGTGCGGCGACGCCATCGCCCAGACGATCGAGCGGCGAAGGCCAGGCACGGCTGGCGCTGCCACGGCCGCGGAAGCGACTGCGCAGCCAGCCCTGGAGCTCAGCAGCATGGATGTGAGGCGAGCTGCAGGCGCCGCCGCCCTCGGCGCCTTCTTTTCAGGGCTCGTGTACCCTCGCGTGTACGCTGTGCTCGACGCCCGGTGGCCCGGCACGACGGCGCGTGCGGTGTGCTCCAAGACGGCGGCAGACATCGCGCTGCTCGGCACGGTCGGCAACTCCTTCTCCATCGGCTGTCGGCTGAGGATCGGCGGAGAGCAGCTGCCCGAGGTGCTGGTTGCCTTGCGAGACACGATGCCGGCGGTCCTCCTCAACGAGTTGCGCGTCTGGCTGCCGTGCGACCCGAGATGCACCAGAGACATCCGAGAGAGATGCATCCGCTGCAACACGAGATTCGCCGGCCGGCTCGCCCTCCGCCGTCCCGAGGTGTGACTGGCGTCTCCTCCCCTTGACGGTGTGTGGGCAGGTACAACCTGCTCGCTTTCCGCCTCGTCCCGACGCCAGTCCGGCCTGCCACCACCTCGCTCGTCACCCTCTGTTGGCAGGTGCGCGCGCATCACCCCCGCTGAGAGAGAGAGGCGCGCTGGACGAGAGAGCTAACACGCAATCTGCACGCCTGGTAGGTGTACATCAGTTGGACAGCGCACCACCACCAGGCGCGAGTCGCGTGACGGCCGCGGCGCGCGGCTCAGACGTTACACCGCGCGCGCGTCTTCTCTCACCTCTCGCTCGCCTCGTCAGACGCGAGTGTACGTACTCGTTTTTCCACCTCAGACTACATGTCATGCACATAGATCTCTCACTCTACTCTTTGCGTGAATACAGCCATGCTGCCACTTTGCTGCAAGACCTGCATGGCATGGGATTTGGGAATACAACGAGCGTTATCGAGGCGATCCGGCGCGGGGTGCCCGGGGGGCGGGTGAGAGAGAGACGGAGAGACACTGCTCGCGCATATCCACGTGCTGTTCTCCGACCATGCAAAGCACGCGCCCAGCCAAGCGCATCTGAGCCCGCACAGCCCCCGCGCGTGTCTTGTCGGCTGTCAGTCCGCCACTTCCACCTGCTGCGGGGTGCCCCCTGCCGCCCCGCCCCCTCCTCCTCCTCCGGCCGGAGAGCCCTGCTCGGCGAGGGAGAGGAGGACGCCGAGCAGGACGGCGTCCTCCCGAAAGGCGAGCACTGCCTCGGGCTGCGACGCGACCTCCGCCAGCTTGCGCTGCAGCGCCGCGTCGCAAAGCAGCAGAGCCAGCTCCTCCGGCCGCAAGAGAGGCTCGTCCGCACGCACCGCGCCACCACCTGCGCCGCCCGCCTCCGCCCCCGCCGCTGCGCCCTCCGCTGCGCCTTCCGCCGCTGCGGCCTCCGCTGCGGCCGGCTCGGCGGCGGGCGGGGCAGCGGACGCGGCGGCGGGCGGGGCGGTGGCGGCGGAGGAAGTTGAAGCTTCTCCCTCGGCGGCGGGTGGCGGTGGTGCGGCGGCGGCCGGCGGGCCGGCGTACTGCAGGTCGCCTGTCCACAGCGGGGAGGGGCGAGGAGGGAGGTGTGAGGAGGGAGGTGTGAGGAGGGAGGTGTGAGGAGGGTGGCGTAGCCCGTGGCGGGCGGGGTGGCAGCGGTGCGGAGGTCGCCTCCCGAGAAGACTGCGCCCTTCATCTCGGACCCCCCGTTCTCCATCCCCTCGCAGAGCAGCTCGTACGCCTGAGGTCCGGGGCAGGTGCGGGGCAGGGCTGGGGGCAGGGCTGGGGGAGGGCTGGGACGACCCCTCCCAAAGAAGCTCGCGCGCCGTCTGGATGGCCATGAACTTCTCCTTGGCCTCCTCCACCTCCTCGTCGGGGACCTTGTCCGGGTGGTACCTGCCCACACACACAGGCACCCGTCAAGTAGCGCACTCCCCGCACCGCCCGCGCCCCTGGCGCTGGAGCGCGCCGGAGGGACATCAGGCGGTACTGCCGCCGGATCTGCTCCTTGGTCGCGAGCTTGCGGGGAGGGAGGCCGAGGATCTCGTACAGCACCGCGAAGCCGTCCACGCCCGACTTTTGGCGCAGCTTCTCCTCCCACTCGGCCGCCCTCTTCTCCTTCTTCTTTGCGTACTGCTTTGCGCGCTTGCGAGCCTTGTCCTCGTCGAACTGCTTCTCGATCTTCTCGTTGAGCTTCGGGCAGTCCTCCTTGATGTGGCCAGGCTTGCCTGGAGAGGAGGGGCACAGGAGGCTCGAGGGGAGGCGAGCCCTGGCTCTGCTCGGGCCGTGGACATGGCCGCCGCAGTGTGAAGCAGGCTCGGCTCCTCCCGGCTCCTCCCGGCTCCAGCTTGCCGCAGTAGTTGCAGCGCTTGTTCGGGCAGTCCCGCTTGGTGTGCCCCCACTGCTTGCAGACGTAGCAGTGCAGGTTCATGTTCTTCTCCTCCTCCACCTTGTCCGACACCTCCACGTCCTTGTGCCCGAACTGCGCCTGCCACGCCGTCTGGTGCCGCGCCGCAGCCTCCTCCTCCTCCTTCGCCTTCGCCTCCACCTGCGTCCTCATGAAGGCGTCGAGCGGATCCTCCTCCTCCTCCTCCGCCGTCGCCGCAGCCGAAGCGGCCGCCCCCCCGGCAAAAACCTTGCTCGCCTGACGAGCGCACGGAGATTGTCCGAGATCCGACCGAGGTCACACCGAGGTCTGACTGAGATCAGCCGAGAGTGCCCCGACCAGACCGAGATCAGCCGAGATGTGCCGAGGTTGCGGCTCGCCTCTCCGGCGGCGGACCCGAGGACCTCCTTGAGCTTCTCCTGCTCGAGCTCGACCGCCATCTGCCGAAGCCTGTTCACAGATCGACCCGTCAAGAGACGCGGCTCGCAGGGCAGCGCCGCCGCCGCCGGCCGCCAGCCTCTGTCTCCGCTCCTCCGCCCTCTGCTCCTCCGAAGCGGCCTCCTGCCTACGCAGCTCCTCCGCCGACGCAAAGAGGCTCGCCGTCGCTGGCGCGGCGGCCGGTGCCGGCGCGGCGGCTGGCGCGGCGGCAGGCGCGGCGCTCAGTGCACCAGACGCCTTGAGTGCCTCTAGCCGTCGCCGGCGCGCCTCTTTTGGGTCGACGGCGGCGGCAGCCGGCTTGGGAGGCTCCTCACGGGCGCCCGCCCCGTCGCGCTCGCGGCTCGCGCTCCGGCTACGGCTACGGCTCCGCCGCCGCCGGTCGCGGCCACTGCTCTGGCTTCGGCTCCGCCGCCGCTTCCTGTCGCGGCTGTCGCTGCGGTCACGGCGGCGGTCGCGGCTGTCGCTGCGACCGCGGCGGCGGTCGCGGCTGTCGCTGCGGTCGCGACGATCACGGCGGCGGTCGTGGTCTGACCGGCGCCGCGGCGAGCGAGAGCGCGGCATAGACACTGCGTGAGAGCGGCGCAGAGGAGAATTTTACGCCTTCTCTATCACCTCCCTCTCTCTCTCTCTCTCTCTCTCTAATCTAAACACAACCTGGATCCCGCGTCTTCCCACAGACACAGACAAAACAAGCACAGCTGCGACACTCACAAGATCAACACAAGTTGATCACAAGACGCGGCCAAGTGTGTGAATCCGTCAGATACGCCCGCTCACCCTCTGACCTCCGGGCGAGGGGCATCGCCCGCGTGCCGGACCACGCGCCGGCAGAAGCAAGCGGCTGGGGAGGCGCCTCCCTGCAGCCAGCCGGCGACTGCAAGGGCGCGCGGGGCTGCTGCCGCTGTCTTACTCGGGGGCGGGGTACTTGTTGGTGCCGTACCACATGTTGAGAATCCCCTGCAGTCGTGCGGGGTGTGCCGAGGGGAGGGGTGAGGAAGCAAGGCGGTAAGTGGGTGCGGGAAGGGTGGATGGGAGTAAGAGTGGGGTGGGTGGGGGAATGGGAGGGGGAGGGATCGGTTCGGGAGGCTAGCGGCAGTGCGCCCTCTTTGCCCTTGCGACCGCCAGATCAGGCGAGGGGCGCGTCGGGACGGGACAGGGCGGGAGGCGAGGGAAGGAGGACCCGCACCTTAGCAGTGACCAGCGGGCCGATGAACCCACACACGATGAGTACAGCCATGTTGGAGGGGCCGCCCTTGGCGGTGTGCGTGTTGCCCGAGATCTTCTTGAGCGCCTGGAAGGCCTGCTGCTGCTCCTTTATCCTGCGCGGTCGACGCCAGGGCACGTTGGGAGGGAGCTGGGCAAACGGCAGGCAGCCGCGGCGACGGCAGCAGCGCGCGGCAAGGAGGGGAAAGGTGGCCAATCGATCGGGCGCGGAGCAGCGCACGTGTTTGGCGAGGAGAAGGCAGCGACGAAAGGCGGTGGCTGCATGGTCGGATCACAGACACGACAGGCTGCGCACGCTGCGCAGAAGGGGGAAAAGCGGCGATCATGGAGTGGCACAATTTGGGAGAAGTGGAAGAGAAGAGGAGGCAATGTTGCGCGGTGCGGGCGCGCTGAGTGAGATTTGTTTCTTCTCCGGGCTCTCTCCACTTTGAACGGCTCGCGTGGGGAGGAGCCTGCAAACTCGGGCTCGGCCGATTGTCGGGTGTGTGGGCTGAAAAAACTCCTCCGCGGCTCGCTGGGGCGCGCGCGGGAGCGGCGGGTGTGCGGGATGTCTGTGGGCCCTGTTTTTTTTTCTAACATCGAAGGCTAGCTAAAAAAATAGAGATCTCGTGAAGCCGCCTGCCGGGCTCGAAGTTGGATATGTGCCCATCGCAGTCTGGGTGAGTCTGGGAGGCGCCATCCCGACCCGCGAAATGCCACGATGCCGCGTAACCACGGCGCCGCCCCGCCCTTCGTAAGCGTCTAAAGCTGTCAAGTAAGAAATAAATCGTTTGTGCACAGAGATGCACGCGACAAAAAAAAACATTGGCGACAAAAAATTGGTATTGCTAAAAATCTCCTCCTGCACGCGCAAATACATACGACAGATTGCACAGTGTCTCTCGTCGCGTGTATGTTCCCGCTCACCCGTCGTCTGACTCAGTCGCGTTGGAGAGGACGCTCTCCTCGCGTTGGAGCGACCACCCTCTGCTCGCCTGTGGCGCCTGCGAGCCCTGGGAGGCCCTGGCGACATGTACGTCCCAAGCGGCGGCCCTTGCCTTCGCGCTCGAGCCGTGGAAAGGGGTGTTATCGGCGACGCCGGGGGGGGGAGGAGCCGGCGCTGGCGCCGGCGCTGCTGCTGCTGCCGCCGCCGCCGCTGTGCCTCGTGGTCTCTTTATGAGCTCCTCGCGGTACGAGGTGCGTGGAGATTGCGATCTTGGAGATTGTAATCTCGGAGATGGTCTCGGCACGAGCTCCTCGCGGTGCGAGAAGCGTGGAGATTGCGATCGCGGAGATGGCGCCGTATCGTCGCTCTCCCTCTGAATGAGCTCCTCTTGGTGCGAATACCGGGGCGATGTGTTCTCCGGCTCGTCGCTCTCCGACTCCGTACTGTTGGAGACGATATCGTCCTGCAGCAACGTTGCAGAAGGCGCCGGTGGCGGTGTGGCGCGGGGCTGTGCCTCGCTGCGCCTCTGCATCAGTTGCCGCGGCGTGGCCGCGGCGACAGACGTGCGCGGACCCTCCCTCGAGAGGATCATGTCGCGGCGCGAGATGGCCAAGGGCCGTTGCCCCGCCGCCGCCGCCGCCGCCGCTGACATCCCCACAGGTCTCTCGGGCGGGGCCATCTCATCCCCGTCCGAGTCCTCCGTGGAATTGGAAACAATCTCGTCGTCCCAGCCCGAGGCGCGGCCCGCTGCGGCGCTCATTCGGCCCGAGGCGGCGCTCAGCCTGCCAGAGCCGCCGCCCGGCCTCTCCACCACAGCGTCCCGGTGCGAGATCCGCCGCGAATTTACGTCGTAAGTCTCGACCTCCACCACCTTGCCTCGGGTTGGGCGCGAGCTGGGAAGCTTCTCCTCGACCTCCACTGCCATCTCCGGCATCCGCAGCGCGAAGATTGGCTCCGGAACAACACGAGCCTTGGCAGTCGGGAGGGCTTGGCCATTCGATGAACCGACGAGCCTCACCATTAACGTCGCCCCCATCACGACCGCCAGCAAGGCAAAGTAGAAGACCGAGGCGACGAGGCTGCTCACGAAGAGGCCGCGGTCGCACCCCGATCCGGAGCCGCCGTCGCCATCACCCAGGTCTTCGCCGGAGGCAAAGTCACCCATGGCGTCACTGTCGCACGCCAGCGACACGCAGATGTTCGGCCACGTGAGGGCGGCGAGTGCAATGGCGAGAGGGAGAGTCAGCAGCAGGCCGAGACAGCGTGCAAGCCTGTGAGGGGAACTTGTGTTTTGGGGCATTGCGCTGTGAGCATTGGGTCGCGAGAGAGCCAAGAGACCTGATGGGGGGGCTCTCCTCCATCGCTGACTGCGTCACTCGGTCGAGCCGTAGCACAAAGCGTAGCACGCCATTGCACAGAACCATTGCGCCAAAGCTCAAGGCAACCGGCACAAGGGCCGGGACGTCGGGGCAGAACCTACGACGAGAGCCGGGGCGTGTGAGCTACCATGCTCGCTGGCGCTCGACTCATCGGACGCACCCGACAGAGCAGATGGCGATCAGGGCGACCGAGGCGGAGAATGATAGGGCGAGGCTGATGTACTCGCGCGCTGTCCTTGACGCCGCACGTGACTGCGTCTCCATCCATGCGCACGTCCCTACCGGCCAGGCTGATGCTCAAAGGGAAAAGAATTTTACAACCAAACTCCCTCGCACAACACGGGGCACGGGACTGGCGCGCACTGGCACTAACACAGGGAAAAGAATTTGAGGCCGGAGAGACTATGGAAAGTTCACGTCATGACGGTTAGCCGCTGTCACACGACCTAACAAACAAAATGAGATTTAGCCGCTGTCACGACAGCTGGGAGCTGTCATGACAGCAAACGACAGCGACAGTGACACCTACCTGTCACCAGCTGTCACCAGCTGTCACCAGCTGTCACCAGCTGTCACCAGCTGTCACCAGCTGTCGTTGCTGCTGTCGTTGCTGCTGTCATTGCTGCTGTCGTAACCATCCCCCGACTGGTCCAACTGTGACTGCTGAAGGAAAGGGAAAAGATTTTCACAAAGTGAATCTCTCGGGACAGGCGGTCGCACACCACAGTGGAAAGAACAAAACCTCATACAGCCGCGGAGACACTCGCGAATGGGCCTGCCGAGCCGCTTATTTTTCTTGGCCGATTCAGCAACACATCAATATAATGTTTCTCGTGCTTGACTCTTTGAAACTTTGTTGCGGGTGACACACGGCCCGCGGCTCTCCCACGTGCCACGACGCACACGAGCCACGTGCCACAACACGCACACGAGCCACGTGCCACGACACGACCGCACGAGACCCGCGCGAGACCCGGCTCTTGCCAAGCGCGGCCCGCGCGCGGCGGCGCCGGCGCTTGGGACGAGGCCTTGACCGCGCCACACCCTAGCCACACCGCCCACTCCGTCGCACTCCCCACACCGGCTTCACCTGCCTTCCCCCACCTGCCTTCCCCTAACAATCTCGCCGCAAATTGGCGAGAACTCTGTGCGGACATTACATACACAAAAAACTAAAAAGCATCACGCTATGCGGCTACAACATGACATGTACATGCACATGTTCTAAAGCCGTATCATGTGGTCATGTGTCATGTGCAAAATTTCTCGCCTTGCAGGACAGAAGGGACAGTCTCAACACTCATGACTCAAGCTCGAGGACTCAAGATCATCGAGTCATGTCAAGGTCATACTCGACTCGCTAGCACCGCCTTAACCCCTCCTCCCCAGCTAAACGACACCAGCCCGCCCGCCTCGCCGCGCGTCCAGTGCTCCGAGACCGGGAGGGTGAGGGCCATGCCCGCCCCCTCGCTCTCCGCATCCCTCCCGTAGCCCCGCAGCGTCCACTCGTGCGCACCGCCCTCGCCCCCCTCGCTCGGCGTCCTCCCGTCCCCTCTCGCCCTCTTCCCCAGCCGCCGCGCGCTCGGCTCGCACGGATGCCGCCACGACAGCGGCACGCTCGCCGCGGAGAGAGTGCGCGCAACCTCCTCGTGCAGCGGGTCGGCGCCTGCCGGCCGAGGCACCAGGAAGTGTCTAGGAAGTGTCTAGGAAGTGTCTAGGAAGTGTCTAGGCGCCTGCCGGCCGAGGCGCGGCCGCGGGGTGAGGGAGGCGCTTCAGAGGCGAGAGAGGCGCCTCGAGAGAGGTGCGGAGGCAGAGGGGCGCGGGGGTCTGCGAGAGGCGAGTCTAGCAGCACACCGCCAGGCTTCCAGTTGAGCCACACGTTGACCAGGAGCGTCACCCGCTTCCCCTCCAGCCGGCCGCCGCTCTTCCCGCCGCCGACCGGCCCCCCGGCAGGCGAGGCGGCGGCGGCAGGCGAAGCGGCGGCGGCGGCGGTGTCGACGAGCGCCGCCGGGGCGCCGTGCAGCAGCCGCCCGTCGAACGAGAGGTGGAATCCCGCGGCCGGGTGGCAAGCCGAGGCTGATCGGACCCTCCCTGCACAGGCTGCCGGCAGATCGGCAGCGAGCACGGGCGAGGCGACGGGCAGCACGAGCGTGGGAGCTCCGCCGAGGCCGGTGAGGTAGGTGACGGAGGCGACGTGCGGATGCAGGCAGACGCCCTCCTCCTTCTGCAGCTCGTAGTCTCTGTCCCAGTGGAAGGGGATGTCGAGCTCCTCATCGACGACCTGCGTCCACCACTCGGCGCCAGACGAGGAGGCGTCGAACCGCACACCGCGCGAGTGGTGCCGGAAGATGTCGAGCGCCACCGCCTCGAGCGCAGTCCTCGGCGCGCATGAGGCTCCGATCCAGTAGGTTGCGTTCGTCTCGTACTCGATGCCGCGATTACGCGTCGTCGTCTTGACTTTGAGGTACGCGGAGGCGCAATCCTCGGCGAGGCGCGGGATCGCAGCGGCGGGAAGCACGGACCGCCAGACTCGTGTCGAGTAGTCCGGCGCGACGTCTCGCGGCGAGGCGCCGCCGGTGGTGCTGCCTACGCGTATCCTGCCGTTCTCGTCGAGAGACACCTCAAGCGCCGCGGAACCCTTACGTGCAGACTGGATGCGGCGGCGGCGGCGGCGACGCTGGCGGCGAGCTCGGAAGGCCTCGTAAAGGCTCAGCGGCGGAATGTCATGTGCGCGCGCCATCTCAGCACTGCTTCACGTGGCTCTACAGTTCGACTCTTGCTTGCGCCGCGAGAATTTTACGATACCACGAGCGGGGTGGGGTTAGTTCGACTCTTGCTTTCGCGCGAGAATTTTACGACGCTCTCTGCATGACACTGGGCACGGGTCCACGGGACTGGTGCACGGGACTGGCGCACTAGCACTAACGACAGGTACACCAAAAGAATTTTAACTCCCCCCTCGCACGACACTAGGCGCGGGACTGGCGCGCACTGGCACTAACACAGGTACACCACGGGAGCCGCCTAAGCGACTCCTGCGTGCGAGGACGGCGAGGCACTTAGGTCTTAGCTGAAAATTCCACCCGAAAAAAAATTTGCGGCCGGCGGCCCCCGACGCCCCGCCTGTCCCGTGGCGCGTGCAGGGCGGAGACACAGCCGCGGGGCGGCGTGACAACAGTCAACACTTGCGAGACTACTGCTCGTACCCTCTGGGGTCCCTCAGCAGCGTGCACCTCGATCCTGTACCGTGTTTGTTATGACCCCCCCAATGAACACACCAGTGAGGGAGGGCGAGACGATCGAGGGGTCCCGTACTATGCGGAATCGACCCTATCAAGTGCTCAAAAGAAAAAACTGTTCAGTTTTCAAAGGCAAAACACAACGCTCTGCGGTTGGTGCACCCCTCACACTGACACATTCCCCTCATCCCCGACCCTTGGCTGAGCACATCTACCTGCGAGCTAGCATCTCCGCATTTTCTCTTCCAGTCATCCGCCCGCGCCGCGCGCCATCACTGGGCGTCTAGTGCAGCCACTGACAGAGCATTCCGAAGGAGTGGTCGACGCCTCGCCTAGAGTTCGGGTGGACTTGCGCACTGCTTAGCCCTGAGGGGGGAGTGTGTGTGAGGTGGTGTAATGTTGTCCCGTTTCAGGCGGCAGGTCAGGGGATTAGCCGGGAGGATTCGGCAGCTCAGCCAGGGGCTGAGCGTCTGCAGGCAGCCTTCCGCCCGCGCCGAAATTCACAGCCCTCCCGGGCCGACGGGGTGCTCCTTGGATCGGGCCCCGCTCCCCGCTTTTCCTGTACCTGGACTGTCCGGGTTAGGAGGGTGAGAGTATTGGGTGGGCGAGGGCAGTACATCTGGCGGGTGGCGATTGAGGGACAGCGTGGGTTGATTGGGGGGTAATGGGCGCGCGGGCGGCGCTTCGTGGTCCCTCACCCCTCACCATCCTCAAATCCTCGAATCATCGAGATCATCGAGAGCGTCGTGAGCGTTGATTCCGTGCTGATTTTTGCGCGCGAGCGTCGCGATTTTTGGTCTGGTTGGTCCGTCGTGGCCGGTGCGCGGGAAACTCGCCGAAAACCCGCGCAGCCGGCCGATTGTACGACCGAGGTCGCTGAGCCTTGGCGACGCGGCGCGCGTCGCCAAGGAGTTCGTAAAATGTCAGAGTTTTTTTTTCCTATCAAGTGCTCAAGTGCTCAAGACTACGAGGATCGTCGCGACGGGCACGGGGCGTTGTCTCCACTCCGTTGAGAGAATATGGCAGTCCCTAATGTCCTATAATGTGGGATTATGCGTTAGGCTGATGTATGTTTCCTCTCGCACCCTGGGGGTCATGAACTTAAACGACACCAGGCCAACTCCGGGTAAAACCGGGTACTGCAAAAGTCCAGGTTTACCCGAAAAATACCTGGACGCGTCCCGACCAACGTATGCCGCGCACGACGCCATATCGCTTTCTCCCAGGGCCAGTGCGCTACTTGCGGCGCGCAATTCCTGCTCAATACGCGCACCGTACCATGTGCTGCCGCTATGCGTGTCTCAAGGCGGCTGCGGCGAAGCGGCGGGCGCGGCATGCCAATGGCAGTGCGGACGATGGTGCTTGGCATGCACTTCTGCGATCCCAATCAGCTCATCGCAACGAAGCAGCTCAACAAGCTGGCTGCTGCCAACAAGGCCCTATGCTACCTCACGCGCGGATCGTTCAAAGAGGACCAGCGCATGCACAGGCTTCTCTGACATTCGTTTGTTTTTGGCTAGACGTCGCGAAGATTGCGCTCAAGAAGCAGCAACGAGAATCGGAAGAGGAGGATGCTGAGGCGACGATTGCTGTGAGCATGAGAAGGATCGATTCGGATTAGTAGGCGCCCGCCGCAGGCGAAGAAAATTTGAGGGAGGCAGCGCCGTCGTTGATCACGGTGCTCGGTGGGAGCCAGGCCGTGCCACGGCAGACTTAGCCCGTGTAAGAGGCTCTCGCTGATCTTAGACCGCGTAAGCACCCCAGCGTGCCGCGGCACACTTAGACCCGCTCAGCCTCGAGGGACGAGGCTCAGAACTTAGACTACTAAAGCCGTACCCCTTACACCCCCCCCCCAACAGCAACACCAGTGTGGACAAAAACAACGTGTCTCACAGCGCGACACACCACACACTCGAGAGCCTCGTTTTCAACATTCAATTTCGCATGCGAGAAGTGTTACACAAGATGAGAATGATGAGTGCGGTGTGCACAGCGCGCGCGCACATGGTCGCTCGGCTTGGCGTGGTGTGCTGCACCCGGTGCGTCGTCACGAGCCGTGAGAAGAGAGAAGTGAAGAGAGAATCCCGCGACACCCCGGCCCGGGGCCCACACAGCACGGGCGCGTCTGGACAAAATACGCCACTGCCTCCCGAACGATGCGAAACAAGGCTCAGCCGCTCCTCGCCTTTCCGTTGGTCAGCATCGCCAGCCGATCGCGCCGCAGCTTCGCGTTGTCCGCCTCCGCCTCGGCCAACGCCGCCTCGAGCTGGTTGGTCCGCTGCAGCGCCTCGGCGCCGCCGGCGCTGCTCGCAGCCTCGAGCTGCGCCGCGAGCCGACGCGACTTTCCTCGCGCCTCGTCCGCCTCGAACTCGAGCTCCGCAATCCGCAGCTTGGCCATCACCAGCGCCTCGGCCAGCCGGCGGCGGAACCCAATCAGCCAGTTGCGAGCGGCGCGGCTGATGACGGCAGCCGCCCACAAATCGTCGGTGGCCTTTGTGAGGAAGTCCGCCCCGCTGCGCCCCGCCCCAGCAGCGCCGCCCCCCCGCCCGCCCTCCTCCCCGTCCGCGGACTCCTCCTCGTCCGCCGTGTCGCCCCCCTCCGACGCGCCCTCCTCCCCCTCGGAGTTGGACGCGTCGTCGAGCCCGCCCGCCTGCTCGAGCCGCGCCGCGAGGTCGGAGAGACCACGGACCCCGCGCGGAGGGGAAAGCGTCTCCTCCCCGCTCGCAGCAGCCTCTGCAGCCGCCTCCTCCCGCGAAGCCTCTGCCGGCTGCGCCGCCGGTTGCCTCGCCTGTGCTGCTTCCTCCGCCTGCGCCGCCTGCGCCGCCTGCGCCGCCTGCGCCGCCTGCGCCGCCTGCGCCGCCTGCGCCGCCACCAGCGCAGCCTCCGCCTCCTCCAGCGCCGCCTCCGCCGCCTCCGCCCTTCGCCGCTCCTCCGCCGCCTCTGCGGCCGCCTCCTCCAGGGCCGCCTCCGCCGCCTCCGCCGCTTCCGCTGCAGCCACCTCGGCCGCCTCCTTCGCCGCAGCCGCCTCGGCGGCCGCCGCCTCGGCCGCCGCCCCAGCCGCCGCCCCGGCCGCGGCCCCGGCCGCTGCGGAGTCAGCTGCCGCCTCGGCCGTCGCGGCTCGCTCCCGTTGCTCCTCCGCCTCCGCCTGCGCACGCTCCGCCTCCGCCTGCGCACGCTCCGCCTCCGCCTGCGCACGCTCCGCCTCCGCCTGCCAGTGGCGGACGTCGGCGGCGCCCACGACCGCCGCAGCCGACAGCGCCTCCAGCCGGCTGACAAGCTCAGTCAGCTCGCCGTCCCGCAGCTCGACTGCTCCCTCCCCGCCGCCGCCCTCCCCGCCGTCCGACTCGCTCTCCCCACCTCGAACAGCGCGCTGCACCGCCTCCGCCAGAGCGCTCAGCCGCCTCTCCGCCTCCTCCTTCTCCTTCTCGGCCGCAGAGGCTCGCGACTCGGCCGCCGCCGCCGCCGCCGCCGCCGCCGCCGCCGCCGTCCCTGCCGCCGTCCCCGCCGCCGCCGCGGTGGCGGCGGCGGCGGCCGACTCCGCCTCCACATCGGCTTGCCTCCGCTCGGCGGCGTCCGCGCGCGAGCTCGACTCGGCCGCGGCCGCCTCGGCCACCGCCTGCGCCGCGGCCGCTGCTGCAGCCGCCGCGACTGCTGCTGCGGCCGCCGCCTCAGCCTTGTCGGCCCGGAGCGAGGCGGCGGTGGCGTCCGCCTCCGCCTCAGCCATCCGCTCGCGCGGCGTCTTCTCGCCCTTGGCGCGGCCGAGAGAGGCGGCGACGCCGTTCTCCGCCGCCGCCCGCCGTGCGAGCTCCTGCTGCTCCTCCCCAAACACTCGGAGCGCGGCGACCTCCTCTGCTGCTTCCGCGGCCGCCGCCGCCGCCGCCGCCTCCGCCGCCGCCTTTTCGGCGCCCAGCTGCTCCCTCTCCCTGGACAGCCTCGCAACCTCGGCCTGCGCCTCGCGCAGCGACGCGCGCAGCGCAGCCAGCTCCATCGCCTCGGGGGCGCCGCCCTCGCCGAGCAGCAGCTCGAGCTCGCTCGCTCGCGCGCGCGCCTCCTCCGCCGCCGCCTCCGCCGCCGTGTAGCCGTCCGCAGTCTGCTTCGCCTCGTCGCGCAGCTGGACGAGCTGCGCCTCTGCCTCGGCCTGTTCACAGCTGGAGATGTGAAGAGACGCTCTTCACAGCCGGACGAGCTGCGCCTCTGCCTCGGCCTGGCCGCTCCTTGCCGTGTGCAGCTCGTCCTCGGCCGTCTGACAGGCGAGGGGAGGGGCGAGGGGAGGGGTGAGGGGAGGGGCGAGGGGTGGGAGGGGAGGGGCGAGGGAGCGGGGGTGGGGGACAGAGTGACTGGGAGGAGGGGCGGGTGGGAGAGAGGGTGGGTGAGAGGGGTGTGGGAGCGAGGAGTGCGCGGGAGCGAGGTTGCTCGAGTCTCGCTCGAGGCAGCGACGTGCTCGAGGCAGGGCAGGGCGCCTGCTGCCGCAGCAGCGCGAGGTCGAGTCGGGCACGCAGCGAGCCGACCGTGTCGCGAGACCACGAGGCGTCGCACGGGGCGGACGAGGACGAGCTGTACCCCGAGGTGGCAACCTGCGGGGAGCGAGAGGCGGGGACGCCTCACCGGTGCCACCACCGGCGCCGGTCCAGCCGGACGAGGTGCGTGCATCTGATCGAGGGGCGGAGCCGTCTCTCCGAAAGGGACGCACCTCCGGGCTGCAGCCCTCCCCCTCCTCCGCCTGGAAGTGTCGCGCGGCGCCGTCTGTCTCCGCCGCCACGGCACGCTGGAACGGCGCCTGCGACACTTCGGCCGACGGCGCAGGCGCCTCCTCCTCCTCCTCCTCCTCCTCCTCCTCTGGCTTCGCGTCAAACGTGCTTCGCGTGGCCGCCGGCCCGCCACCGCTCGGCTTTGGCGGCGTGTCGATCCAGCCGCCCTCGTGCGTCTCCTCCTCCGACAGCCGGCTCGAGAGCCCAAACGGCCGCTCGTACTCCTCCTCCTCCTCCTCCTCCTCCTCCCCAAACGGGTTTGCGACGCGCGACGGCGGCGGCGGCGGAGCCTTGGCAGCGCCCCCGCCGGCCGCCGGCTCCTCCTCCCCACCGACGAACGGGTCGAGCCCGAGCGCACGCCGCCGCTCCCGCTCCGCCTTCGCTGCCCGAAGCTGTGCCAGCCTCCCCTCTCGCACCTCGGCCTCGCTCCCGCCCGCGCGCTTCAGCTGGCGAGACACCATCGCCGAGCGCATCGAGCGCATCTGGCCGAGCCGCTCGCTCTCGTCGCCGGCCGACTCGTCGTCTGCAGCCGCACCGATGCCGCGCGGTGCGAGGGCGAGCTCCTACACCAAGGGTCCGACAAGCCTGGGGAGGAGGCTGGTGCGAGATCCCGGAAGAGAGAGGAGAGGGAGGAGTGACGGCGAGGCGAGGAGAGGGAGGAGTGACGGCGAGGCGCCTCGAAGCCGCGCAGGTCCTGCGGGAGGGGCGAGAGGCGCGGGCGGCGTGAGCGGAGCGGGAGGGCGAGCGAGAGGGCGAGCGGGAGAGGCGCAGCGACCGAGGACGGCGCGTGCCACTACTGCAGTCGCCACCGCTGCTAGAGGGGTGCGCCTGCTCCGAGTCGGCGCCTCTGCCCCACGTCCGGCTCGAGGCGCTCGAGGCGGCGGAGGAGCAGCCAGGCATCGCCGAGGTGATCGAGATCTCGTCGTCGTCGAGCTGCGCCAGCTGGGTCGCCACCACCACCATCTCACACGTCGCCGCGGGCACCGCCTTGGACCCGAGCCGCACAAGCTGCTCTGTTCTTGCCGGCGGGCCGCCCCGCGTCGCGAGGCCGGCGAGGTTGACGTCGGCGTGGGCGAGCTCCTTCTTTTTGGCTCCGCCCGCGGCGACGACGAGCGAGAGGCGAAAGTTCTTCTCCGAGAAGGAGCGAGACAGCTTCTTGGACGCATAGAGCGTCGCCACCGTCGAGAGGCTCTGCCCAAAGGCGACCACGCCGCCGCCGCCGACGGGAAGCGCGCGGGTGGTCACCACTTTGGTGGCGCGCGCTAACTGCGAGGGTCGGACCGGAACGGATCAGCTCTGCCGCGGGGCGGTGGCCGCCCTGGGTGCACGCGAGAGCGCGCGTGCAGGCTGGCGCCGCTGGCCTGCACTGCGACTGCGGAGCCCTCGAGCGCCTCGAGGCCTGCGACGTTACCAATCTCGACGTCGAAGCGGAAGGAGAAGGTCTCGCGTCCGCGACGGCTCAGTGCCGCCTGTGCTTTGCCGAGCGTGGCCAGCTTCGATCGCGGCATGCTCGACCGGGCGCCGGCGCAAGGTGCCCTAGCGGCGCCCAGTTCGAAAAGAATTCTGGATTCGAGCCTCGAAAACAATTTTCTAAAAGCCGGTCGCAAAGAATTTTGAAGTTTTCTTTTCGCTGGCGCGAACCGCGGTCCGGTCGCGCCACCGCGGCTGCGGGGCTGATAGAGCAGGCCGGCTGCGGCTCCTGATGTACCTCCACTTCTGGGTGGCGGTCGCGCGCTGCCGACGGCGCTCGCCGGCGCTACGGCGCTCGCGGCGCGCTCGTGGCGTTCAGGGCGGCGGCTCGCACACGCACACGCACACGCACACACGCACACACACACACACACATGCATGCACAGACACACAGCCCCTTCCCCTCCCCCCTCAAATTTTCCCAACAGGGCGAGGACACGCGCAGGCCGCACCTCAAGTGAGGCCCGCATCTGAGGGAGGGTGTAGAGGATGTAGAGTGTAGAGCGCTGTAGAGCTGTCTGTAGAGATGTAGAGCGCTGGAGAGCGCTGTAGAGCTGTAGAGCTCTACATCCGCCGCGTGACGATGTGAGTCGCCTGTAGAGCGATGTAGAGGCGCTCTACAACGTGAAATCTCTACAACAAACTCTACATCATAAGCGGCGAACGAGGCACGGTCGCTCTCCGACATGAGGCGCGTTGCACTTGCCAGTGCTGCCCTGGCCTTCTGTCTGCCCGCCCAATGGGTGGCAGGTGCCTCTGCTGCTGTGGCATGCCTCACGGCTGCGACTGGCCGGCGCCTCGGCGCGTCAGCTCGGCTCGGCGTAGCGATAGTGGCCAGCGCAACTCGCCTGGACTCAACGCTCAGCCAGGAGCTCCCGCACGCGCTGGCGCGAGTCATGGCGCATGCAACGCGTCTGAATGCTCGCCTCGCCTCGCGCAAATGCGACCGTCCTCGCAGCCGACAGTCCACCGCCTGCTAAAGAAGCACAGCGACGAATGCGGCACCGGCGACACATGGCAGGCTGGTCATGACGCAGTCATAGGGTGTTGTGTGCCGTCAGAGTGACTCCCTGTGTGTCAGGGATAGTCAGGGCTGAGCGCGATTTTGCTGTAGAGTTTGTTGTAGAGGCTCTACAGCCAAACCGCCGGGAAGGCAGTGACTCAAAGAGGTCGAGCCGCGCTAATGGGGTGTCTCCGAGCTTACTGGAGCTCTGATGGACAACATCGCTCTACAGGCGACTCACATCGTCACGCGCCGGATGTAGAGCTCTACAGCTCTACAGCGCTCTACACCTCTACAGCTCTACAGCGCTCTACACTCTACATCCTCTACACCCTCCCTCAGGCCCGCATAGTATGTGGGAGACTCATGCCGCCGCCCCTGCCACCCCTGTGTCAGTGTGCCCGTGGTAGTGAGAGACTGCCGGTGAGAAGCCGGAGGAAGGTCGCCAGACTGAGATGAGACCGCCAGTGGAGTTGGGATTCCACCGTGCACCGCGCTGCGAGCCTGTCGTGTCCCTTGTCAGGAGCAGGAGAGCCCACCTGTCCCCCGGATCGTCCTTCCAAAATCCTGCTCGTGCAGGTGTGGACCCTGTCCTCCTCCCCTATCCCTGCTTTCGCACTTGGAGCACTTGGAGTGCAGTCAGCAACCGCACATCCAGCTCTCGCTCATCTTATCTTTCTTTCTTTCATAGTACTAGCACGCGCCAGTTCGCACCTGTGTCGAGCCTGTGTGCTGTGAGAGAGAGTTCTCTTGTTTAAATTCTTTCTTTCTGGCGCACTACCTTCGAAACAGTCGCAGAGTTCTTGAAAGCGCTTCCGCGGTTAGTGGTGATCGGGTCGCTCCTCATCGCAAACCCTGTCAGCCAGAGCATATACAACGAAAAGGGAAAAGCCTTAGAGAACCACCGAAAAAGAAATCTCGGCCCCATGCTCGCGGCGGCGAGGCTGAGGGTGGCGGAGAAGGCGAGGCTGCGAGCGGCGGCGACGGGTCTGGGTTGCGCCCGTGCCCGTGGAGCCGCCAGCGCCAGCAGCAGCGCACTGCCGAGGATCACCGTCGAGCTAATTTCCGACACGATGTGACCCAACGGGTACATCGGCAAGCGCCACCTGCAGAATGCGATGCAGGAGGTGCGCGAGCGGCCGATGCGGTCGGGCAAGCCGGTGCAGTTCAGCGTGCTCCGCGTTCCCTTCTTCCTCGAGCCAGACTACGACACGAGCGAGGACTTTCAGGAGACGAACCGAGAGCGGCTGCTGCGGAAGTGGAGCGGCGCGGCGGGCTTTGCGGCGCAAAAGCGGCGTCACGGCCTCAAGGAGCGCGGCCGCGAGGTCGGCATCGAGCATTTCGACCTCGACCGCGTCGCCTCCAGCACGCTCGCGTCGCACCGCCTCGTGCAGTGGGTGACCAAGCGCAAGGGCGTCACGGCGGCGGAGGCCCTGTACAGCGCGCTCAACCACCGGCACTTTGAGCTCGGCCAGAAGCTGAACGACCGGAGGATGCTCGTGCAGGTGGCGCAGGAGACGGCGGGCGTGGATCCAGCGGCGGCGGAGGCCTTCCTTGCGAGCGAGGAGGGCGTCGCCGAGATCAATGAAGCGCAGCAGATGCTGCGCAGGTTGGGCGTGAGCGGAATCCCGACCCTCGTGCTCGGCGCAAAGGCGGTGCTGCCGTCGGGCGCGCTGAGCAGCGAGTACCTAGTGCAGGCCTTCCGGCAGCTGGAGGAGGCGTCGGAGGAGGGCGCCCCCGACTCGGTCTTTGCAGAGGCGCGGGTGCCGGCCGGCGTGCTGTGTCAACGACCCGTCCGCGAACCTTCCCTGCGCCTTCCCCGTAGGCGCTCGGCGTGCCACTCGAGGTGCTCGCGGAGCCGCTCGCGCTGGGCGAGCAGCGGTACGAGCCGGTCGCCGTCGCGGGGTAGAGGAGGACCTACTCAAAGGTTAGCGTCTCGCGCGACACCGAGTGCAACCGGCCCCTGCGCACAGCACATGAAGGCGTCGACCGTCAGCGGCGGCGGGTATTCCGTTCGCCGCGGTCGCGCCGGAGGATAGAGCGCAGTTCAGGCCGGCGCACGCGGCGTCGCGTCCCGCCGTCTCGACTCCTTTTGTGGGTATTTGTTACTTTGTTAAATTTTCTCAAAACACGCCCCAAAACAACGCCGTTCCTTGACAACGCGCCACACCGGTACCAACTTGATTCGTAGATGCGCGTCTCACGGCCGGACCGCGGGACGGGGAGGGAGGGGGATGGATCCGTAAATCCGTAAGTCCGTAAATCGTGTAACAAAAAACCACTAGAGACTCCCCCGCCGCACCCAGCTGCAAGGCAGGCAGAGACACAGCACTCGCGACACGCTGAGAAGCCGGAGGCTGGCCTCTCCAATGCTCGCGCAACGCTGTCTGAGTGTCTGTGCACGCGCAGCAGCTCTCCGGGGTCCGCGCGGGCGGCGCACACAGTGGGAGGGCGACGACCGTGCGACTGTAACGCTACGCATATCTCTTAACACTCACTATATTCGCGCTTGCGCTGCGCCTCTGCGAGTGCGACTATCAACCTCTCTCGCGTGCGCATATAATCCCCTCCATCTTGTCGTACAGCCTTGACCTCTCCGCCTTTGCGGCATCAGCGCGCCTCGCCTCTGCCTCCATCGAAATCTGCAGCGCGTCGAGCTGCTCGCGCAGCTCGGCCTGCATCTTGGCCCGCATCTCGCCGATACGCCACTCACACTCAGCTCGAGCTGCGTTTTTTGCCTCGTCAGCCATCCGCTCGGCCGCTTTGATGTCGCGTTTAGTAGCCTGCTGCGCTGTCCTCAGGTTGTCGCGGTCGGAACGCCTAAGCTCTTGTGCCGCAGCAAGCTCAGCCCGCGCCGACGCGAGCGCCTTCTTCACAGCGCTCGCAGAGCGCTGCTCAGAAGCGAGCTCCTTGGTCTGTGACCGCAACTTCTCTTCCAACTCCTGCCGGAGCAGCACCTCAGCGCTCGCACTACTCGCGGCTGCATGGATGTCCGATCCCTTTAGTGTGGTTTGCGCGTCTGTGCTGACGAGAGTGCGGGAGATGCTGCCGTTGTGCTGACCAGAGATTACGCCAGCGGTAGCAGTGCTGCTTGGGCACACAACAACATTGCTCGTGGCCGAGCTGGCATAAGCCGCCGCACCAGCCTCTGCGGCTGCAGTGGTGCTTCGGATCGCGTCGAGCAATGCGCCTGTATCGTGCTTGAGCATGGCCTCGAGCGTACTGAAGTCGGCTTCCCCGAGTTCGTTGAGCAGGCGCTCCAGCACAATGCTGAGCTGCGTCGGTGCCATGTGTCGACGTGTCCAAGGGAACGGACGTCGCCGATGGCCTTGTTCACGCCGACAAGTACGTCTAACGCCTCCTGCTAGCTGGGGCACGCTCCAACGCGGCTGGGGGCCGCTCTCCAGCTCGATTAGGGCGCTTTTCACGCGATTTTACGGAATTACGGATTGGAGGGGGGTGGCGGCACATAGGGCGGAGGGGGAGACGCGCATCTACGAATCAAGTTGGTGCCGGACAGCAACGCGCGGCCGCGGGCCGCGGCGCGCCACACCGATTGTGTGAATAGGATCCAACACGTATGTGCTGAAACGCGTGCGCGGCGGGCCGCGCGCCGCGTTCTCTCTCCCATTCAGACTAACACAGCCGGCGGGCCTCCCTCGAGCCCCTCCATGTTCTCCTCGAGCTGCAGCGAGTCCTCCGACTCGTCGACTCCCTCCGCCTGCCCCTCCGCGAGCTCGGTGTTCTCCTCGAGCCGCAGCTCCTCGCTCCGCTCCTCATTCTCCTCGAGGGCAATCTCGTCGTCCTCAGCCTACAGAGCAGCTCGCCGCGGCGCTCCTCCGAGACGCCGGGGCAACGGCGGCGCCTCCTTCCAGCCGCTCCTCCGGTCGAATGCCCGCGTGCCTCAGCCCCGCCGCCTCGGCCGCCGCCTCGGCCGCCGCCTCGGCCGCCGCCTCGATGGGCTGCGGCGGCGGCTCTCCCATCGCCTCGCGCGCAGCCGCGGCCGCGAGCTCGTGCGCCACAATCGGCGCCGCGTCCTTGTACCCGACCTCAGTGTACGCAGCCTACAGGGGCGGCAGCAGCGGCAGTGGTGGAGACGTCCCTCGACGGAAAAGCACCCTCCTCCGCTCGGAAGGGGGCGGCGCCTCGAGGGCGGCGGCGCGGATCGCGTGCCTCGTCCGCCTACATCAGTCCAAGCAGTGGCGATGGCACGCCGCTCCCCCCTCGCCGTGCGGAGTCTCACACTCCGCCTGCGGCTCTCGTCGCCGACGAGCGCGTCGACGCCAACCTGCTTCAGCCTTGACACGTGGCGGGCCAGCTCGTCCTGCGCCGCGCGGTTCGCCGCCGCGCGCGCCTTGGCCGTGTCCTTCTCCTGCGGCCTCATCTGGTGGTGCGCCCTACCAGCGCGGCAGCGCCGTGCGTGAGGGGGCGCCGCTCTCGCGTCCTCGGGCGCTGCTGCTGCGCGGCTGCGCCTCGACAGCCAGTACAGCCGCTCGGCGCGCTTCTGCTCCTTGAGGCGCTGCCGCAACGTGCCGGCGCCGGCGACCAGCCCCTCCTCCTCCTCGCTCAGCTCCCGGGCGGGCCGGCCGTACTTGAGGTCCTGTGGGATGATTCACAATCGTTCACTGTCAGGAAGACTCAGTCATGAGCCGGCCGTGCTTGGGCGTCCCTCGAGCGCTCGTCGGCGGCGGCGAGAGCGTCGCGGGTGGCTTCCCGCCGCTGGCGCCGCTCCGCTTTGGAGCGAGTCCGCGCCGCCTTCTCCACCTGCGGGCGAGGGAGGGGAGAGGGCCGCGTGCAGGGGGCGCACTGTCGGCCTCGAGTGCGCGGCACGAGACGGAGAGAGAGAAAGAAAAGCTGTCGAGTTGGGGATCTGGAGAGGGGTGCAGACCTCGAGCGCGCGGAACTTGACGGAGAGAGCGTCGACCGAGTTGAGGCCTGTTCACAGCTGGCATGTCTTCGCAGCTGCTCGCTTCGCAGCGGAGATCGAGAGAGCCGAGCGCCGTGGTCCATCATCACAGAGTCCTCCTCCTCTCCCTCCTGCGGCGGAGGGACGGGGCGGGGCGCTGGGCACCGCCGGAGGCGAGCGGGGCGCGGCGAGAGGGCGGTGCGTGAGAGGCGGGACGGGCGCGGGGCGCGGCTGCGGTCCGCCGCGCCTCCTCGGACGAGGTCAGCCGGCTCTCGTCGCGGTAAAACTCAATCGACTGGCCGACCATCTGCATCTGGAGGTCGTTCGCCTCGAAGCCGCTCGGCGCCGCGGACACCTCGCACTCCTCGTCCTCGTCGATCCAGGACTGCCAGTCGATCTTGCACTGCGGCGGCTTGACGCCAACCATCAGGCTGTCCCAGTATGGTCCCGCCGCCTCCTTCTCGAGACGCACGCGCACCGACGGGCCGCACACGAACCAGCAGCAGCGGGAGGGAACGACCGCGCCGGCCAGCCGCAGCGAGAGCGCGTAGTCGCGCGTGCCGCGCGCGCCGTGGCCGTGGCCGCTGAAGCTGAGCTCGCCATCGTTGACGTGCACAGCCGCCCGGACGCAGTCGGCCACCTTGATGGTGACGTAGACCCGGTCCGAACGCTGGCACCACATGAACTCGGGCGACGGAGGGCCCGCCGCCGAGGAGGGGGCGGCGGGCGGCTCGCGCGGCTGCACGGGCGGAGGCGGCATGGCGGGAGAGGCCGGGCAGCTGAGGCCGGGCCACACACACAGAGATCTGCAGAAGAAATTGCGGCAGCATGCTCGGACGCCGTTCGTCGCGTAAAAAGAAAGAAACAGCGCCCCCGCACCTTCCCTCCTTATCGCCGACAGGAGCGGCACCACCCAATGCTCCGCACCGTGCGCCACCTTCTCTTCCCTGACCTCTCCTCGTATGGTGCTGAGCCGGGCATGGGCCTGCTCGACCCGGACCCCGCCGAGCACGCGCGGGAGCTCCTTGCCGCCGCCAAGCCGCACCACCGGCGAGCGGTGGAGCTGGCGCTGTGCGACCTGTACGGCCGGCGCGCGGAGGCGATCGTGAGGCTGCCGCGCGGCGTGGAGCGCGCGCTGGCGCACCGCCTGCTCCACGACCCGCGCGACCTGCCCCTCCTCCTCAACTTTATCCAGTGCGGCCTCTGGCTCGCCTTTTCGCTCACGCTGCAGCTCACGCTGCTGCCGCGCGACGGCGGCCTCTCGGCGCGCGCGGTCGGGCTGTTTGTGGTGCACGTGGTGGTGACGTGGGCAATCCTCGGCCAGCGCTTCATCCTCGGGATGCACTTTGCCGCGCATCGCACGCTCATCTCTCCGCGCATGCCTGGCGCCGCGCTGCTCAACGCGCTCCCGCAGCTGGTGCTGGCCAACTTTTGGGGGATGCCGGCGGGGATGTACTACCTGCACCACGTGGTGATGCACCACGCCTCCAACAACCTCTTCTCCTGGGACCTCTCCGGCACAAACTCGTACCGCCGCGACTCCCCGCTCGCGCTGCTGCACTACATTGCCAACTTTGCGCTGCACACCTTTCTATACCTGCCGTACTACGCGGTGGTGAAGCGGCGGTTCGGGCTCGCCGGCTTCGCGCTCGGCTCGACCGGCGCCTACTTCGCCGCCTTCCACGCCCTCCACGCCTACCACCCCGCTGCGTTTTGGATCTCGCTCGGCTTTTCTTCCGTGCTCGGCCCCGTGGCGCTGATGGCGGGCAACTTCGGGCAGCACCAGTTCATCAACCCGGCCGACCCGGCGGACAACTACGGCCTCACCGTCAACCTCGTCAAGGCGCCCTTCAACATGCTCACCTTCAACGATGGCTACCACATCGTCCATCACCTCAACTCGGTGCGAATCGCACCATGCAAAACCACATCTCGCCTGCAGCCTCAACCCGGCACGTCGCTACCCCCCCGCACCGCCCGCCAGCCTCCCCCGCCTCGCCGGCTGCCAGGTCTGCCACTGGTCCGAGATGCCGCTCCAGTTCATCAAGAATCTGGACAAGTACGAGAAGCACGATGCGCTCGTCTTTCACTCCCTCGACTACAACGAGATGTCCGCCCTCATCTACACGCGCCAGCTCCGCAAGCTCGCCTCGTACTGCGTCCAGCTGCGCGCAGAGCCGCGCACCACCGACCAGCTGGTCGCTCTCTTCGAGGAGCGGCTGCAGCCGCTGCCGCAGGCGGGCGCGCCGCTCGACCTGCCCAAAAAGTCGATCTTCGGGCTGCAGCAGCTGCTCTGGCTCGGCCTCTACGCGGGCGGCATGCCGTCCGCCATCTTCCCCGCGCTGATGGTGCCGGTCTTCGCCGCCCTATCTCTCGTGGAGGCGTGAGGCGGGGGCAGGGCGGGGGCGGGCCGCCACCGGAGACGGGCGGGCCGCTCCAAGATGCGTCGGAGTCAGCGGGATAATGGGGTTCAAGTGTTAATATCGCCATTTAAGGCTCTCTGTGTACGTAGCTTACTGGGAGAAAAGAGAGAGGGGGTTGTGTTCTCTCTCTCTCTCTCTGTATGCCGTGTTGAGCGAGCGCCCCGACCGAGAAGTTGTTGAGAACCCTCTGGGCGGGCGTTACATGACAACCATGGTCGAGGTGCACCCTCCTCGGCTGGAGCTGACTCAAGTCGAGGAGGGGATCAAGTACGTGCTCGCGGTAGCTGTTCGCAACACGTCTGTTCGACGCTGCCGCGTGCGCATCGTGCCGCCGTGCTCGGCAACACTGCGGCTCTCATCGGCAAGCGATGTGGACCTGGCCCCCGGGCTGGAGCTCCGTGCTGAGCTGGCATACTTAACCGACGTGGTCGAGCCGCTCGACGACAGGTTGATAGTGCAGGCCAGCCACCGTGACGATGGCGCGCCGTCGCTGATAACGGTGCCCATTGAAGTGCGCCCTCGCTGCGCCGTCATACGGTGCGCCGTGGCAGACATTGATTTTGGGGCGGTGGCGCAAGGCGCGCCAACGGTGCGGCCATTGGAACTGCGCAATGTGGGATCGCTGCCAGGGGTCGTGAGCCTGAGTGAGCTGCTCGGCCCAGGAGGTCAGCCGATGAGGGAAGGAGGGACGCCTCCCTTCCGGCTGCTGCCCGCTCGGCTCGAGGTTGCGGCCGGTGGCAGTGCGACTGCAAGGGTGGAGTGCAGCGCGGCCGAGCTTGGTGAGGCGAGCTGCACGCTGCGCCTTCGAGTCGACGACGAGCGCGAGCATGCCCCGGCCGCGCCTGCAGTCGGGCTGTGTGCAGTTGTTGAGCGGCAGGCGCTGGAGCTGCGCGACAGTGAAAGTGGCGAACCCCTGACTGCCGTCTCGTTTGGCCGGCTCTTTTATGGACTGGAGGCTCGGCGCGTCATCACGGCCGTCAACACGGGGCCGTCTGCCGTCGACTTTGCATTTCTCAACCCGAGCGCGGACGCAGACGCTGACGAGACGGGGACATTCGACCCGCACGCAGCGTCGCTCTCGATTGAGCCCGCAATGGGCCTGCTGCCGCCGCACGGGACGTGCACTATCGAGGCCATCTTCCGGCCGACGCGCGAACCAAACGCCTCGAGCGACGCCAAGGGCTTCTTGGCCTCGCCAGAGACCGAGCCTGACGACGGCCAGGCTCTGGCAATCGAGCTTCAGCTGGAGTCTGTCGAGACGGGGCAGGCGTTGGCGCTCCGTTTGACTGGCGAGGGTGTCGTCCCGCGCCTCTCGCTGAGCGAGGGCACGCTTGTCTTCGGTGACGTCCCGCAGTACGACTACCTGGACCGGCAGGTCACGCTGCGCAATCAGTCTACTTTGCCCATGGACTGGTCGCTAAGTCAGCCAGCCCACTTTTCTCTCACGCCCTCCTCGGGCTCGCTACCTGCACATGGCGAGGCGGAGGTATACGTCCGCTTCTCGCCGCACCAGCTCGGAGAGCTCAAGGCGAATGCCCGCCTGCGTGGCTTCGGCGGCGCCGTCTGCGAGCTGCCACTCAAGCTGTGGGGCGGCTGCGCGCTTCCTCGTCGGCGCGTGCTCGAGGGAGGTGTCGACACGCTACCTGAGGACTTCGAGCGGCCGCCGCGGCTCGTATCGGGCGGCACATCCTCGCGGCCAGAGTGGTCGCGGCCGGCGCTGTGGGAGTCGACACGACGGATCGAGGAGTCGGCCACACAGCTGCACCGCCTTACCGACGGCAGCTTGCGGGCTTCGAGACGACGCGTCTCGCTTCGCGCACGCGCCGACGACGACGCGCTCGACCGGATCGACCAGATGGACACGGGCCTCGAGCTCACGTCGGCGGAGCAGCTCGAGCGCACGCAGCACAAGCAGGTCTACGCGACCTTCATAGCGCGGAGCCGCGAGGAGCGCGAGGCGGCACGGCGGGCGCGCCGTTCGGGCATCGATCCGGCCGAGCTCGCATTCGGGGTCTCTCTGGGGCTTGACCCCTTCTCCGGCCTAAACGCGCCGTGGCCCGAAATTGATGCGCCGCGCGAGCCGCTATGGCTGGAGCGGCCGTACGCGGCGCCGGGCTCGCAGGCGACGGAGGCAGGCATGCGCCGGCCTGCAATCTTTGACCAACTCACACTTGCGCCACGCAAGTTCAAAGAGGTTCCCGAAAGCGCCGAGGAGATTCGTGAGTGCAAGCAGCCGCTCGGCCCAAAGGAGCTGCTCTCCGTGGCCTGCGGCCCAAAGACGCTGGACTTCGGCACGGTCTCCGCCTTCACGACGGTGTCTCGAAACTTCAGCGTTGTGAGCGGCCTGAACGCCTCGGTCCTCGTGGAGGTCAAGGCTGGCGACGAGCCCGAGCTCGAAACGTCTTGGCCACCATCGCAGGTGGTTCCGCCAGAGGCGACTGCCGGCTTCGACATCACTTTCCGCTGCGGGGAACCGTGCACGTACCGCCGGACGGTTGCCTACGTGATCAACGGCATCCACGCGTTCCGAATGACGGTGACCGCGCAGGTCGTACCGCTCGAGCTGCACCTCGTCAATGCACGTGGCACGCCGCTCGAGGAGCTCGAGTTTTCCTTCGGAGCCGGCGACGCCGCATCCAGTTGCTCGCAGTCACTCGTCTTGCAGAATCGCGGCACGCACCCGGCTACCTTCCGCTGGGGCCACCCGCGCGACTTCACTGGCAGGTCCCCGTACTCGGTCGAGCCGAGCGAGGGGGTCGTTCCACCCAAGGGTCGCCTTCCGCTCAGCGTCGAGTTCGAGCCCCAGCTCGGCTGCCACCCGGAGCACGCGCTCGTTTGCTCGGTGGAGAACGGGCTGTCGACGACACTGCTCTGCCGTGCTCCGGGGCTCGTGGAAGCTCGGCTGGCACCGGTCGAGAAGACTATTGCCTTCGGCACCATTGCCATCGGAACGGCGCAACAGCGGGTGACAGTGCTGAAGAATGCCGGGCAAAGCCCGGCCGCATTCAGCTTCAGGCCCGAGAGCCTCCCCGTGGGCGTGAGACTCGAGCCGATGAGTGGCGTCGTGCCGGCGGGCGACGTGCTCGAGGTGGCTGTAGACGCGCTCATTGAGGCACCAGCTAGAATCGAGGCCACGATCGAGGCACTTGTTCGGTACGGAAAGCGGGTCCAGCTGCCCCTCTCGCTCGAGGCCATCGCACCGGCTGTGCGGCTCCTCGAGGAGCACCTCGAGTTCGGACCTGTCATCGTCGGCTCGTCGGCGCACATGCCAGTCTCGCTGTCAAACGACTCCCCAGTACCTGCTGTGATCTGGTGCGACCTGAGCGCTTTCCCTGGCTTCGAGCTAAAGCTGCGCGCGCAGCAGGAGGCCGAGGCCATGCGCGCAGAGATGGATGCTGCAGAGGTCTCGACGACTGTGACGGGCGTCACCGGCATGCAGGACGATGATGAGGACGCGCCACTGCAGCTCATCGCCAAACGGCCCGACTCTGCCGCGGGGGGAGAGAACGGCGGAGGCGAGGCGGACGGCGCCTCTTCCGTCGGTGGGGTAGACCAACGGCTTTATCGAATAACCGTGCCCCCTGCGTTGGGCGCGGCAGAGGCCGCCGCTGCCACGCCACGGACGGTGCTGGCCGGCGCTGTGGCAGGGGGCGGGTCGCCTACGCCTGGGGAGCTCAAGCTCTCGCTGAGCTTCGAGCCAAAGGCAGTGGGCCGTGTCGAGTTCGGGTTGCCGTTGGAGCTGAGTGGCGTTGCAACCACGCCGAACCTCTCGTGGTGACGAGAGCGTCGGGTGGCTGCTGGCGCTACGATGTGCTCCTTGAGGCCGAGGACCCAGAGGCGGAGGACGTGATCACCATCGCGGCGGCCATCAACAAGCCGGCGGCGGTCTCCTTCACGCTCGAGAATGTGGTGAAGGCGGATGCGCCGTTCAGCGCCTTCTTCACCGGCGACTCGCCCGCTAAGTTTGCTGTGAGCCCTGCCGCGGGGGTCCTGAGCGGCAACGTCGGCACCACTTTCACCGTCACATACTCGCCCGACAGCTACGGGAAGCCGCTGCGCGGCTCCCTGGTGATCGACACGGAGGACGTGCGGTGGATTTACGAGGTGCGGGGGACGCTCCCGGTCTACAACCCTCCGGTCGCGCGACCGCCGCCGTCTGGAGACGCCCGGTTAGGCCCGTCGGGTTCGCACAAAAGGTAGAGAACGTGTCCGACAGGGCCGAAGGGGAGACGGGACTGGCGACCGGGGGCGCCGCAGATGTACGTTATGCAGGGTGAGCGAGTAGAGAGAGGGATTGTCCGCGGCGATGTCAAAAACGCAGAGCGCGAAGATGCTTTGTGCGGTGTGGAACCGCCCGCGGTCCGGGCGCGGCCCGGGGGTTTGTTTTCATGAATGAAATCGCTACAGCCCTGAAGTCTGACTACAGGACTAGTAGAGGCTAAGCCAAGATGGCGCGAGGCACTTTTTGGAGCACTTGGAGCGGACTTGGTCTTTGGTACTTGGAGTGCGGTTCGGGTAACCTCGCACAACCATGCGAGATGTCCACGAAAGTTAAAATAAATAAATAAAAACGGACACCTCTACTGTGAGATGGGTAAAAAGGAACAGGTCCCCGCCCTTGCGATCTTTGTGCAGGGTTCTTTGTGGGTGTGGACTGTGGTCGGCGACTAGCCGGGGTCGTCCTCCCGATGCGCGATGGGGGACTAGCACTAGCCGTCTTCCACATGGTCCCTCGGGTCCCTGCTGCTCCTAATCTCGTCGTACATCCTCCTGCTGATCTCCGCAAAGTCCTGTACCTCTCGGGCAAATAGAGCACACCACGCACAAATCGAGACTAAAACACGCGCACAAGACAACATGGACCGCGATCTCCGAGAGGGCAGAGAGGGCAGAGGGCTCGCTGAAGCGGACCTCCTCCCGTCAGCCGCCGCGGCCTTTCGAAGGATCCTCGTCAGCCCTCCGCCTCCCTCGCGCGAGGCGGCCGCGGAACTGGTCAATCGCGACGCTGATCGGGATCACCTGCTTCTTCCCCGTCTCGGGATCGCTGAGGACCGACACCGTGATCGGCACCGGCGACTGCGGCGGCGGCCGCGCGCCGAGCAGCCGCCACGCGCCCTGGCTCGCCGCCCAGCCTAGCACGAGCATCGCCGGCCAGCGGGAGGCGGAGGCGAGCGACAGGAGGTTGAGGCCGGCGCCCACGCCCGCGGGAGGGTCAAACACAAACTGGCCAGGCAGCGCGGGGAGGGTATAGGTGTGGGGAGGGCGACCAGGTGGGGACGGCACTCCAGGCGGACAGACGGGTCGAGCGCTGGGTGAGCGTGAGGCCGCTGCACCTGCAGCGCCGTCGTCATCTGGAGCGCACGCAGCGCGGCACCGACGGAGAACATCAGCCGCGGCTTGAGCCGAGCAAAGTAGAAGAGTGTGCGGTACACACCCGAGACGATGCCCTCTGGCTTTTGCGTCTTGCTGCCGGGCACTTGGACGCGGGAGCTGTAGTCGTTGCTGAGGGCGGCGAGCATCGGGTTCACCGCGGTGAGGAAGTAGAGCGTGCGGCCTGACAACGGCGACAGCAGCGGCTGCCGGCTGCGCGGAGCGTGCTCCGTGCGACCAGAGCCGGAGGCCACGGCCGCCACCGAGCACAGCCAGGTGAGCAGCCTCATTGCGGGGTCAATTGGGGAGTGGGTTTGGCTCCTAAGCCGCCTTGGGTGGGTCCTTGAGAGGGTTTGAGGTGCCACAGATCTCACTGGAACGGTAGGTACGGTGAATGTTTTTCTCCCGAACCAGCCGCGTGGCGCAGACGCGGGGGAGGCTGCCTGCCTGGCTGGTCAGTCTTGTGTCAGTCAGCCTCGCCTGGCTGGTGGGCGCCGGTGCCTGCCTCCGCCGCCGCCCCGCCCGCCGGTGCCGATGCGCTCGGCGTGCGTCAGGCTCCGTGCTCGTAGCAGCTTGGGGAGGGTCAGGCATGGCGCGGCCACGAGCGAGTTAGCGCGGGCGGGAGGGAGATGCGCGGCACGCTGCCGTGTCGCGCCCTCGAGGCTGCCGCCCGTCGGGTTGACACTGACTGTAGACTCAGTCATGGAAATCTCTAGTCTTTCTTAGAGATTGAGAGGAGTGAGACCTGAAGATTTCAGGGCAGATCTCAGTCTCTAGTCCCGCCCTTGAGATCTCCCAAATCTTCGTCGAGACTTCAGCCACGAAATCTCAGTCTTCCCGTCGCTCGGTGTGAGTTTCTAGAGGAAGCGCGTGAGATCTCAAATGGACAAGATTCCTTTTCGCTTTGGGAGTTTGAGATTTCGATGAGGGGTGGGAGAGACTGAGACTGCAAGCAAGAGAGATTCCGTTTTCGATGCAGAATGCTGTGAACTTCCTCAACCTTCCAACGCCTTTATCTCGCATCGTTCGAAAAACATCACTTGCGGGACCACCGAAATCTACTCGAGTATAGATAGGGCAGCGTGACTCGAGATTTGAGATTGAGACTGAAAGAGGCACGCTCGGCTTGCAATGCTTTGCGCCGCCGACACCGTCCATCTCGCCGCCGGCCTGAGGCGGTTCTCCACGAAGCTGTGGCCGCTCGAGAGTGAGGACGAGATCGTCGCGCTTCTCCTCGGCATGGCCCGCTACCCAGTCGACACACCCGACCGCGCAGAGCTCATCGCTGCCGACATGCAAACAAAGCACGCGTCCACGACCATCAACGTCCTCGTCAGCAGCATCGAGAGCGAGGCGGGCATCAGCACTCTCGTGGATCTTCTCGACCGCAAGCGCTTCCATGAGCAGGAGAAATCCACGCCGCTCCACCTGGTCCCGCAGATTGAGTTCTGCGCCGTCTGCGCTTTGCAAGGGCAGAAGGTGTGCCTTGTGGTCAGCGACGAGCCCGTCCATCCGACCGTATACTGCACGCACGGGCGCTTTGGCGGGCTCCTCTACTGCAAGCGCTGCCCAAATTGCCGCGCCAAGCACAACCTCTCATATGCCGAGGAGAAACTCGGCTGGCTCAGGGCAAGCAGGTGCCGTATGACGGCGCGATGGATCAGACTCGCAAGTACGTCCAGCTGTCGCGAGACATCATCTTTGAGGGCGAGATGCTGTGGCGCCTCGACACGCAGATGCTCCACTCGCACACCGGCTTTGAGCCGTACGCCAAGGAGTGGACGACCTTTGCCGACGAGCCGCCGCAGCTGGTCGAGCCTTTGCGGATAGCGCTGTCCCACGCCTGGCTCGCGTGGACGCTCCTCCGCTGGCGCGACGAGCTCCAACTACCCAAGGAGCCGCTGAGCTTTGCGTCGCCCACCCACCTCGACGAGACCTTGCTAGACTACACCATGCGTCGCGACCCAAAGACCGGCCGCTTCGACGCTGACTCGCTCATCGTTGCTTCGCTTCACCGACAAGTGGGGAAGGGAGCACGAGCTCGTCTGCCTCGAGCCCAAGGACTCCGGTCGAACCTGCTTGTGCTACATCATTGACGGACACATGAAATGCCGGAGGCTGATCTGCGAGAACAGGCGATTCGAGCCGTGAATCAGGGAAGTGTCGCGGACTCGTCTCAACAAGCGTCCATGTTTCTGTAGGAACGCTCGAGTCGTCCACCTCGGTGCACTAGCCACCTACTGGTAGCCCCGCCCCTATACAGTATTCCGGTTTGCAATGTCCTCGTTCCTGTTTGCAATATCCTCGTTCGCGGCATCGGCTAAAGCCTCTCATCTGCGTAGACCGCGCGCGCAGCGCGCTCCGTGTTTGCAGACCGCCCTGGCGGACTCGTTTACACATCCAAGCTCAGGCCAGGCGCCGCAGGCCATAAAGAGGAGCGCAGATTAAAATGGCGCCGCAGGCTCCCCGGGCCCCAAATCTTAATCTCAAATCTCAATCTCAAATCTCAGACCCAATCTCCCGGGCCCCAAATCTCAATCTCAAATCTCAAATCTCAAATCTCAGACCTCAGACCTCAATCTTCCTGCAGGTCAAACCCACCCAGCCCTTCTAGAAGCTTCGAGGCTCTTATCAGTATTCACACCGCAAATCTCCAAATCTCAGCTCTCAAATCTCTAGGTTGGAAGGCCGTCCAAATCTTCAGTCTCAAATCTTGGATCTCGAGCAAACTCGACCGCAGATTCCTTTTGGTGTGGGAAATCTCATTCTCCAAGTCTCTGGTCTCTAATCTCAAAGTATCCCACCGGAGGCCGAGTGACTGAGGTCTCAAGTCTCAAATCTCTGGTCTCAAATCTCTGGGTAGCACTGTAGACCCGAGTGGAGTCTTTCAAATCTTTAAGCTCTCAATCTCTAAAAAAGACTAGAGATTTCCATTACTCTGTAGACTGACACATAATAGGTCGAGAGGTAGGGGCGGGCCCCACACCGCCCCGCGACGGCTCCAGATAGGAAGGTTCTTAGCTCCCCGGCCCTGGATGTGAGGATGCCAACTGCACTCCAAGTGCTCCAAGTTCTAGCAACTAGCATCTAGGGGCCGATTTTTTTCGCGATTTTCGGGAACCACAGACCCCCTCTACAGTTCCGGACGGGCATTAAGAACTTCTGGCGTTAAGAACCTGAGGCTGGCCTTTCGGCTGAATCCCGCTGGCCAAGCTAAGAACCTGAGGCTGGGCTATGCCTGGGTTCTACAGAGCCATCGACGTCATCCAAGAGCTTGCAAAACTCGCGAACACCACCCCCCATGCCAATCGGCATGAGGCGCACACTCAGCGCACAACACTATGTCCGAGGCGCACACTCAGCGCACAACACTATGTCCATGTCCATGTCCATGTCCATGTCCATGTCCATGTCCATGTCCATGTCCATGTCCATGTCCATGTCCATGTCCATGTCCATGTCCATGTCCATGTCCATGTCCATGTCCATGTCCATGTCCATGTCCATGTCCATGTCCATGTCCATGTCCATGTCCATGTCCATGTCCATGTCCATGTCCATGTCCATGTCCATGTCCATGTCCATGTCCATGTCCATGTCCATGTCCATGTCCATGTCCATGTCCATGTCCATGTCCATGTCCATGTCCATGTCCATGTCCATGTCCATGTCCATGTCCATGTTGTTGTTGTGCATGTGCATGTCCATGTGCATGCACATATGTCCACGTCCACGCCCATGTCCAGTCCAGTCCTGACCTATCCGATCCTACTCGGCCTCCAGCAAGACCCACACGGCTCGGAACGACCCCCACGGCTAAGAACCTGAGGCTCGGCCCAGGACGGAGCACCAACTTAGCTAAGAACCTGAGGCTGGGCGAAGAACCCGTGCGTTCTTAATGCCCGTCCGGAACTGTAGACGGCTATAGGAGCCCGAATCCTGGCCGAAAGAGAAAGGGAAAAAACCAATTTCGCTCGAAGGGCCCCCTCGAAAAACATGAACAGGGCTAAACCCCCCAAAATTGAATTCGACCGCGCAAAGCTGTCCCCCCCCCCGCAAACTTTAAACCTCCATAAACATCATTGTGCAGGGGCTCCAGGCCCCAAATGACGTGTGAGTGTTAGAGTTGTTTGGTATTGCTAAAAATCTCTCTCTCCCCCCCTCGGCCTAGGCAAAATCCTGCAAAGGTGGGGACCTGACTGTCCACTGTCCTGTCTCCTGACTCCTGTCTTCGTCCCGCGCGCGGCCGCGGTCGTCCCACTCCCAGTTTTTTGTGGTGTATTGTGAGCGCGCTTTTCGATACGATTTACCTCGTTTATGTTTCAATTAATGTTCTTCCGTTATCGTTTTATCTTTTATGTTTTAATCTTCTTTTTTACCTAAAGAACTTCACGCAAAAATACAATAGAGGAAGCGGTCAACGGACAAACAAACAGCGCGACGGCATCATTCTGACATTCACGCCCGCGGCACACCTTCACGAACGAAACGAGCGAGTGGCTAGGCGAGTGGGAGGAAGCAAACGTGCGAAGGTGCGTCGGCCGTGGCACGTTCACTTCGGACCAGCCTGTCCGTACTCGTAGTGGTACTCCGGCGGGGGCGGCGCCGCGGCTTGCGCGGTGGAGCCGATGAGGGCAGATATGAAGGGGAGGTGTGTGATCATCGTGTTGCCCTTGAAGGCGCCCGTCACCGCCTGCGCCGCCCCGACCGCCTGCGGAGGCAACACAGAGGGTTGCAGTGGGGCAGGAGGTATTGACGATGAGGGGACGGGCGGGGCGGGCGGGGGGGGGGGGGGGGGGGGGGGGGGGATCGGGCAGCGCTCGCTCGCCTCGCAACATTTCGGGGACCCGCTCGTGCACCGTTTCCTCCATGAGCGGCTTGTACGTCGCCTTGAGCTCCTCGAACAGCTCCGCCACCTGGCAGACAAGGGGGAGGGGCGACGGCAGGCGCGATTGAGCTGGTGCAGGGCCCTGCAGGACGGCCGGGCCGGCAGAATGGGAGGGGAGGGCGCCCGGGGAAGAGCGCGCCTTTGTGTATTTGGCCTTGACCTGCTCCTCGGTCGCGCCGGTGTGCGCAAACGGCGAAGGCGCAGCGAGCAGCCCCACCACGATGGCCGCAGACATCCGCGCAGCCACGCCTGTTTTCCTGAAAGCGCGGCGGAATTTCCCGTTGGGAGGAATGAAGCGGGTGTGTAGAATGTGGCTGGCACGGAGCGCGCGGCGTCCGGCGGCGGGGCGGCTTTGACAGGAGGCGTGGGGTGGGGCGAGGCAGACCAGTCGAGCGGATGGCGGTCGGGGTCAAGCGCCGCGCTGAAAAATACTGCGCGCACGCCTAAATCCTTTGCCGCGTTGTTTTCTTTCTTTCTTTCGAGAGGGGCTTGTATTCGTAGAATTCTTTCTTTCTTTACACCTAAATCGTCCTTCCAAATCGTAAGAGCCACATACATTGAAAATCCTGCTCGTGCAGGTGGGGACCCTGTCATCCTCCCCCATCCCCTCGTTTGGACTGCTCTTTTCTTTCTTTCTTTTTACGTGTACGCCACAATGATAGACTCTCAAAGAATTTTACAAAAAGCAGGGAAAGAAATCCCGGGTCGCGCACAAAAACGACACGTGATCGCGGACGGACGCCACCAAACCACAATGATCGGGCTCCTCATGGTGTCTGAAGCGGCGACCGCAAGTGGTCGCCAGTCGCGCTCGGCGATACTAGTGCGGCGCTGCCGCGGCGGGCAGGTTGGCGGTGGCTACCCACCGACTCCGCCTTTGCCGCCGCCTCGGTGGGGCTACGGCGATGGCGGCAGCGCACCTCCACGGCAGGCCACGTCCGGCGCCGGCGGCGCCACGGGCGCGCCACCGTCGCAATTTGACGTGTCGGGCGGCGGCGATTTCGATGGGCGGCGAGGAGGAGTATGGAACCCTGTACATCCAGGGCGACGGCACCCTTGTCGTGGCGTTCGACATGGTCAAAGTCCAGGTTTCAGATAACTGCCGGAGCGTCGGGATCAACACCGCGTCGCTGGCTCAGAACCAGTACCACGAGATCGCCAACGCCTTCATGCTGGCGCTGCAGGACGAGCTCGGGCTGTCTAAGGACAAGAACGTCAAGATGGACGGCCTGCGGTGAACCGATAAGGGAGTGCATCAACGAGAAGCAGTTCGTGCTCGGTTACAGCGCCACCGTCTCCCTCAACATCGACGTCTCCACGGAGGACAAGAAGCTCATGCCGCAGATCTACGCTTTGGCGTCGCGGTTCGAGGCGGAAACCACCGAGGTCAACGTGCACGGCACGCACCCCTACGTCTCGGACCAGAGGAAGAAGGAGAACTTCATGAAGCTGTTCGAGAACACGATGGAGGACGCGTACTTCAAGGCCGAGCTCTACGCCAAGGGGTGCAGGAGGACCCTCGGCCCGGTCATGGTGATGTCAGACCGGCCCATTAGCATGCAGAACCAGCCGAGGCCGCAGCCCATGATGGCGTACGGCGGGGCCGCTATGGCGCACAGGGCCGCGGAGTCCGCTTCCGTGGAGATGGAGATGCCGTTCGGCGAGGGGCAGAAGCTCTCCAAGACAATTCATCTGCAGTTCAGGACTGAGCCCAACGAGTAAGTTATTGTATCGGGAATTTTGAAGAAAGTACCTAGACTCGCTCGGACGACCTTCCGTGCAAAATCGACAATTGTGGCGGGGCCGCGGGCGGCTGTAGACTAACGGCGAGACGGGAGCGGTGCAGAGGTGGATCCCGTCAATGGTCATTATGATGACTTGAGGCTACGGCGCGCATAATGAAGTTGAAGAGAGAGGAGCACTTCGAGTGGCTGAGTGAGCAACTCTAACACTCACACGTCATTTGGGGCCTGGAGCCCCTGCAGACTGATGTGTTTATGGTGGTTTAAAGTGTGTGTGTGTGGGGGGGGGGGGGGGCAGCTTTGGCGGTCGACTTCAATTTGGGGGGTTACGACGGTTTGGGGGATCCTGCCGACGCGCTACAGTTGTAGCCCCACTGCACATAAGATGGACACCTCAACGGGAGGGCCCTCGCACAGCAGCCGAGGCCGACTCCTGCAGCCTTAGTCTTGGCCCGATCCGGCGGCATGCCACGGGCGTAGGCGCGTTGAGGCTTGCCGCCTCCTCTGCGCCAACGCGGCTTGTGCCGCAGCTTGCGTTTGCTGCCAGACAAGAGGAGGAGCAGGGCCTTTTGGCGATAGGACCAGGCAATCGTATTCGCCCGGCGGGCGTTACGGATTCGAGCAACACCCGGGTCGAGGTTGCTGCGCCTCTCGGTGCAGTGCTGCAGCATCGCACGCTTGTTGCGGGGGATGGAGCATCGACGGCAGCTGGAATCCTGGCTGTTCCGGATGCGGGTCCGGCGGCATTTGCGGCGGTGTCTTTGCAGCTGCGAGCGCAGCGCGGTCACAGGCACCGTCGGCTGCCGAATGGCGCACGATGCCGCAGCTGCGGGCGGAGTGGTGGCTGTGTCGGCATTGCAAGCACGCTGTCAACCACAACTCGGCCACTCCCTGCAGCACATGTATGTTGTGCGTCGAGCGTCAGGGAGATGACGCCATATGCAAGTCCAGCCGAGGTCGCGGCCCTCTCAACCAACGCACAGCGCACCGCGTATGGTCAGAGACTGAAGAGTGTGCAGGGACGAGAGCAGCCTATCGCTCTGGCTGTTGCGCAGACGCCGGGCAGCGCCGGCTACGCCAGCGCTGTCCTTGCCCAGATTGCGAGCTTTCAGCCTGGGTCGAAGCGGCTGGAGGCGATGGTGGGGTCTCGTGTTTGCCTTTTTGACGGATGGCTCGCCCTCACGACTGACGGGACTGTCAGATTTTGGACGCGCGACGATGTGCGGGCATTCTTTGCGTGCGGCGAGGGAGAGGCTCTCATCGCCGATTACATTCTCTCGTGGGGAAGGCGTGTCGACATTGGCGTTGAGGGGCAGCCACTAGTGGTTCAGGCGGCGCCGAAGGGCGGGTGGTGGATGCGTACTCTCTCCTTCGTCAACGAGCGGCACATCCACATTGTCCGCGCGCTGCTAGCACTTGTGCCCGACGGGGCGCAAGACGGGTTGCAGTGGGAGAAGCGCGTGCTGTACGGCCCATTCCCGGATGACGTGTACTCGGCATTGGCTGCGGTGACCGCCAGCATCTTCTCGACGATGGCGGTATACGAACGTGGACCACGCGGGCGTGCTCGACGGGAGCGGGTCCCGGGTGTATTGCCTGACAGCCCGACTGTGGCAGCATTTGCGAACGCGGGTTTGCGCGTTCCGCGGCACGTGGTCGCCAGCCTTTGCAAGGTCGCAAGGGTCGGTGGCGACATCACAGCGACTGCTTTTACTCGAACGTGGGCGCACAAAGTCGAAGCTCCGCCGCTGCTTTTTGCTGCTGGAGGGGCGTAATACGCCGAGTGGTGTGCCAATGGTGCTCTTCCGCATCGATGGGCTTGGGCTGAGGTGGGCGCCTATGGCGACGTGCGAGCGCTCAGTGTGGCAGCGGCAGCAGAGGTGGCTACTTGGAAGTCGCAGCTGCTGCCAGAATTTGGGCTGCAGCCTCTCGAACTGCCCTGTTCACGCGCGCGCGAGACGTGCAGACAGGGTTGCCAGGCGAGAGCGAATGGCGCGGTTCACGCCTCGCACAACAGAGTCCCTCAGAGAGAGAGGGTGCATGCACAACATGTACATGTTGTGGGCAAATCAGCCAGGGTAGAGAAAGTTGAGGAAGCTCTGAGATGACCGAAGGTGAGAGGGCCGCCGCCGACTCAGTCGAAAATTCCGACGCCAAGTCAAGAAAAGAATCTTACAAGCCCAGTGTTGTGCAAGAAAAGAAGAAAAATCTGCTGCGCACTGATAGACAGCCAGCCGACATCCTCGCCACTGATAGACAGCCGACATCCAGCCCAGCGATGCTCTGTCTCGTCGCCTCGGCTCTCGCATTCAGGCCGGTGCACGTTTGTCAGCTCACGCCTAGCACGAGCTCGGCGGTGATGCGAACGCCGCGCGAGCGGAAGCTCGGAGGCGGCATTGCGCAGGGTCTCGGGCTGGGCAAAGAGAAGAACAAGTGGGTTACGCCGGTGACTGCGCTTGCGCTGGCCGGTGTGTTTACAGGCAGTGTGGTGCTGCGCGCAGCGAGCAGACAGCGCCGTGTCGAGACCGGTCGATACACCGTAGGCGGTCTCACCGAAGGATTCGTCGACGACCTCTTTGCTCCGATTCGCGCCAAGGGCGGCTGGGGCGGCGTGGTGGGAATAAAGACGCCGGGCGCCGAGGAGGCCAGGGCCATCAAGGAGGCGAACAAGTCGCCTACAAGGAGGGCGATGGAGGAGAAGATCAAGGCACGCGAGGCGGCGCGCCTGCAGGCCTTTCCTCCGCCGTGAGGAGGCTCGTGAAACCGCGCCGAAACCGCGGGGGGGGGGGCGCCGTGTAGTTCATCTGCCGCTGTCGTCTGAACGCACACTAAAGGGTGTGGACCGTGAGTTGAGGAAATCGGGGGACGCGACCCACCTCGCCACAGACGGTCCCGCGCCTCCCCCGCCACTATGACGGCGGCACGGCCGCATCTCGTGTGCGTGCCGCCGTCTTTGTCCGGAGTGAATACTCCAACGCGCTCGTCGGTGACGGTGTCCCCCAACCTGCGCCACGCTCGGCGAACCTTGACAGCGCCTTCGGTGGCATGCATCTCTTTGCGCCTGAAGCCTGGAGAGCAGCTCCTCTCTCTGCTGCTCACACACTCTGCACAGAGATGGCACAGCCCACTGTGCGGCTGCCACAGCTGTGGCAGCGATGGGCTCGCCCTCACTGGCCCTCAGTCACTTGTGCTGCGGCTTGTGTGAGCACACGACACTGCTCGGCGACTGCCGGCACACTGTGAGACCATGGGTGTGAGGTTAAACCACGCTACCAGCGCTTGGTCACATCGGCCCCGAGGTCAGATCCTTCTACTCTGTTGATGACAAGACTTGTCTACTGGCTGGAGCCGAGCAGGAGGGCCCAGCGCACAGCCCCTGGTCAACTCAGGGTCCACTCCCTCTAGTACGCACTTTTCCCCACGCGCGCCACGGAGACTTTTCCGCATCGCGGCCATCGCAGTGCTTGCCATTTTTACTGGTAAATGAGTGGTGGTATGGTGGGAGCAGAGAGTGGTATGGTAAAATACGAAACTCCGTCCGTGGAATCATCATTTTTTCGAGCTCTGAGCCGAGTCTGAGGCTGGTTTGCCGCCAAATTCAGCAAAATCGGCAAAATACCTGGGAAACCCCGGGTATACCTGGGAAATACCCGGTATTTTGCCGATTTCTCCGATTTCTATCAGATTTTGCCTCAGAAGTCGTGGTAAATCTTACCACCGTTTGATTGTTTTGGCCGTAGAGTGTTTTGATTGTTCTGGTGGGCTATACCAGTAAATGGCAAGCACTGGGCCATCGGGGGGGTCATAACAAACACGGTACAGGATCGAGGTGCACGCTGCTGAAGCAGTGTCGTCCCCTGGTCGTCCCCCCTCTCCATCATCTCACTGGGAGACGTCGGCGCCGCGGCGGTGATGCGGATGGCGGTGTGACCGATCGAGCTACAAGAAGAGCTTGTTCAGCAGGATCCGGGTTAGTCTGGCGCACTACCTCACTGGGCCTGAGACCGCCGGGACGCTCCCCGTCACCGTCTCGGATTTGTGTGGGATCGAACCACTCCGGGATGGGCAAGCCCATCCATCATTCTGAATGTGCCTTTCCCTCGCCTGCGAGAGACAGCATAGAGGGCTAAGCCTGGCGAGGTACTTCCAGCCTGCTGTGGGAACAGGCTGAACGCTCGCCCCATCTCGGGTTCCCTCGCCCCCCTGGGGCAGGGGGACCCCGTGAGGCGTGGGAGTGCCTCGCCAGGCAATTGCGTAAATGCAAGCGTTGATTACAGGTGGAGGGATCTCGTCTGCCGTCTGCCGCCCGCCGTTTGCACGGGGACGCCGCTGTTCTCGCACAACGAGGCGCGCCTGCAAAAAGTGTGCCAGTGCTCGCCTCCTCCCTCTCCAGTGCCGGCGCCTCCCCTCGCCCGGCGCCTCCCCTCGCTACCGAGCCGCCACAGGTTGCAGGTTGCTTGCCGAATAGGCGAATACCGGGACCCTCGGCGTCCATTCCGTCAACCATGGGGATGGTGAGCACCGAGAAGAAGGATAAAATTAAGAAAGCTGCCGCTACGACTCCATGAACTACCTTGAGTCTCGAGATATGCCATTAAGAAAGAGAACGGCGACTACGCTCTGGCGCCAGGAAGCACGGACCTGTACGTCGGCGCGTATCACAGTGGACGTTGGCATCGGCCAAGCCGAGGCGCATGCCAAGTTCAGCCCCGCAGGCTTTGATGTTGGCGCTGGGGTCAGCCTCGCTGGGGGCTCCGTCTCTGACTTCGACTTCAATATCGGCGCCGGCGTCGGCACGGCCGCCGGTATTAACGACGACTCGGTCGAGGTGAAGGTTTTGGGGACCGGTGTCACGATTGGCCGCAAGGTGGGATTTCCTGTTCTCGGCAGCTCGTTTGGAATTGATCTTGGGAAGATCGGCCAAGCCATCTTCGGCTGATGCATCTGCTCTTTCGGAATTGGCTTTTTTGGCTTTTGGCTAAAAGGGTCCCCCCCCCCCCCCCCCCCGCCCGCCCGCCCACCCACACAACCCTACCTGCGCCTGTGGACACCTGCGGACTCCTCCACAGGCGGCAGCTCCTCCGCAGACGGCAGCCAGCTAAAGTTTATCCTTCACCTGGTTCGTGTCAGCTAAAGTTTATCCTTCATGTGCCAGATAGTGGCGTCTAAACCCTGCGCCAGGGTCTAACGAGTGGCGTAGAGCAGTGCGACTGTGCTCACCGCATAGCCGTTTGCCGCCACCCCTCGTGCTCGGACGGATTCCGCGAGCGTCCTCTGGGGGGAGGCGGGGGCCCCCGGAGGCACCGTGCGCCGCGCAGCAGTGCGGAAACGGGGCTCCGGCTCCGTTAGTCTCCGTTAGCACCAACTTCCCGAATGAGGAGGGTTGAGTAGAGGGCAGATTTGGAGAGATCTCGAGGAGTACATACAAATAGACCCTCCAACCATCAGAAACCTCCAACCTGATCGGTCGTACTGACCGCCGACAGATCACTCCAGACAGCAGACAGGCCGACGTCTGCACGCGGCCGGCCGGGCGAGAGGCTTGACACGATCCGACCCTGCGACCCTGACGCTGCTGCTCTAGCTATCAGACATGCACTGCTGACTGCTGCCACAATGTGCGACCGGTGCTGGCCCACTTGGCGGCCTTCCCGGTCAGTGGTGAGGCGCAGTTCAGAGCTGTCGATGGCGCGATGCTGCACTGGTCCCACATTGGTGACACGAGACCACCAAGTTTGCCGGTCCAAGAGAGAGGCACCGGCGCTGTCCTGAGAAGGTGCGTGGTCCCTCTTGACTGCCCATGCGCGCGAGGCTGTGTAGGCATAGCCTCGAGAGTGCCAGCAGCCAATCCGAGGCGACGCGCATTGCGCCAGAAGCGTGCACATGTTGGAAGGACACCTTCCTACTGGCCGTACGATCAGGTCGTCACTGAATGCTTGATACTAAGGCCGCGAGCTATGCAGGTGATCAATTGTGCAGCATGGCACGGTCAGCAGCGCCGACAGGCTGTCGCAAGGCGTGATAGCATGGCCGCAATACGCCGAATTCTCATGAAAACAAGTAAAAAACGTTCAAAAAATCCAAAAAATCGGCGCCTGCGGCGGGAAAGGGAACCCCCATCTCCCCCACGCATGGGTACCCCCTAGGGCCCTCGCCTCCCCCCAGAGCGAGCGTCTCGGGCTCTCGGCACTCGCACTCGCTTTCGCTGGAAAAGAATTTCCCCCGCAACCTGAGGCGCGAGCCACTCCGTCTCCCACTCCGCAACAGGCCCCTCCCCTGGCGACGGCTGCCAGCCCGGGATTCGGAGGCGATTCGCCTTATCCTCATCGTTTCTTAACATTACTTGCAGCGGAGTTTTCAATAAGCGTTTTTAAAGCTGTCGAGGGTCCCCGCGATGGGTTTCTTCATCGGGCGGGTCTCTAAATTCTTCACGGGCGCCGCTCGCCGGTCGTAGTCAGCCTCTTTGAGAATTGCTTTGAGCGTGTTCGCTGCCGAGGTGGTGGCCTTCGACGAGCGCCATGGCGGCGCTGCGGCCCTCGATGCAGGCCATCTCGACGGAGCCGCCCACGCCGCTGCACCTCGCGTACACCGAGAAGCTCAACGCGTACATGGAGCAGGCGGTGCCGCAAGAGTCCAAGGACCGTCAGCAGAAGCGGATCGCAATCCTGTCGGACCTGACTTCGACCTTCAAGCAGTGGGTCCACTCGGTCTGCCTCGCCAAGGGCCTGGCGCAGCCGGTCGCCGAGGCGGCGGGCGGCGCTCTCTTCACGTCCGGCTCGTACCGGCTCGGCCTCAACGAGGTGGGGATGGACATTGACGCCGTCTGCGTCGCGCCGCGCATGGTGACGCGCGACGATTTCTTCGAGACGCTCAAGGTGATTCTCGAGGACCACGAGTCGATCCACAACCTCGTCGCGATTGCCGGCGCGCCCCTCGCCCCTCGCCCTGCGCCCGACCCTCCTCGGCACACCCTCTCGCCAGTGCGGCAGGCGCGGCGGTGCCCATCATCACGTTCGACTACGGCGACATCAACATCGACCTGATGTTTGCGCAGCTGCCCGTCGATTCGGTGCCTCCTGCCGCCGCCACCAGCGGCACACGCTGCGAGGGTGTGCCCGCTGCTCACAGACCTGAGCCTGGTCGCAGGTGCCTCCTACCATCGACATCAACGCGGACTCGGCGCTGCAGGGCCTCGACACGGGCACGCAGCGCTCGCTCAACGGGCCGCGCGTCACCAACCTGATCGAGCGGCTCGTGCCGCAGTTCGACGCCTTCCGGCAGCTGCTGCGCTGCATCCGGCTGTGGGCTAAGCGGCGCGGAGCCTCCTCGCCAACAGGGACGAGGAAAGAGGGCTGTTGTGAGCCCACATAAGAGAGGTGGGGGTAGGCGCGGCATCTACTCGAACAAGATGAGCTACTTGGGCGGGATCAACTGCAACCTGCTCTGCGCCTTCCTCTGCCAGCTCTACCCGAAGGCGTGTGCCTCCCTGCTGCTCGAGCGCTTCTTCTTCATCCTCAAGGACTGGAACTGGCCCACGCCAATCATGCTCACGCCGCCGACCGACGCGGGGTACACCGACGCCGACGGGCGTATGTACGAGGTCTGGGACTCGCAGGGGCGCGGCCGGTGACCGCCGCCCCTCATAGCCGCCCCTCCCGCCCAGCCCCTCCCGCCCAGCCCCTCCCGCCCAGCCGGTTCCCCGGCCGCTTGGCATGGGCCCTGACCCCGGCCCCCGGCCCTGCCCCCGAGCCCTCCCCCCCCCGCCCCCGAGCCAGGTACGACCAGATGCCGATCCTGACGCCAGCCTACCCGTCGATGAACTCGTCGCTCTCCGTATCGCAAGTCTCGCTCGAGGCGAGGGACGAGGAGATGAGAGTCATAGTGAGTAGAATACACTCGAGGGGAGGCAGCCATAGTGAGGAGGATGCCGACGACGAGGATAGCAGCACCTCTCTCTTCTCCCCCGAGGTGATGCGGTCCGAGATGGCGATCGCCCACCAGAGGGTCGTCTCGATCCTCGCAGCCGGAGCCAGCGACTGGGCGCCGCTCTACGAGCCGACCGACTTTTGGGTCGCGCACTCAAAGTACCTCGCCGTCGAGGTGTACGTGCAGGGCGCGCCCGCCGGCCTGCAGCAGGACTTGGTTCGCTCGTGGGTCGGGTACACCGAGTCGCAGGTCAAGAAGCTGGTCGACTTCCTCTCGTACCTCCCTCTCGCCGCCCTCCGCCTCATGCCGCGCAAGCTGCCCCTCCTCTCCGTGGGGGCCGCCGCCGCCCCGCCGGCCGACTCGGCCTCCGCCCCTCCGCCTTGCGACGGCGGCAGCTACCTCATCGGCTTCGACGTCGACAAGACGCGGATGCAGGGCGGCGAACTCCACATGACAAACAAGGCACGCCCCCCCTCTCGGACCCCGCCTCCCGGACCCCGCCTCCCGGACCCCGCCTCCCGGACCCCGCCTCCCGAACCCCGCCTCCCGGACCCCGCGCCCGCCCGCTCGCCCGCCTCTCTCAGCCGCCGGTGCCGCTCCGCCAGGTCGAGGCCTTCCGGGCCGAGTTGTACGACCGCGCCGCCAACCAGGCCATCGTCACGGCGACCACGGCACCCTTCCTCAAGGCAAAGCGCACAGAGTAGCCGCTCCGCGACGCTCGCAGCGCCACTCTCCGGGGGGGCCGCGCAGGGCCACACACCACACACCACCCCGCGCCACGTCCGGCCGTGGCTCCTCGATCGCAGCAACGCGGTCCGGCCGTGGCTCCTCGATCGCAGCAACGCGCCCCTCCCTCGCAGCGGGTCGGCTGCCTCCCTTGTCGCAGGTGCGCTTCTCCGTGTACGGCTCCTGGAAGGAGCTGCCCGAGGCCGTGCTCGACGCCGGCCTGGGCGGGATCGCAAACGCAAAGGCGGCGCGCAAGCGCGTGCTCGAGGCGAGGCGGCGCGAGGCGGCGGCGGCCGAGGCGGAGGCGGCCGCCGCCGCCGCCGCCGCACCGCGTGACGACTTTGACGCCGGAGTGGGCGACGCGGCGGCGGGCGACGTGGCGGCGGGCGCGGCCAAGCGGCCGCTCGAGGCTGGGGCCGATGAGGCGCCGCCCAGCAAGGCGCAGGCCTTGGCCGCGCCTCCGGAGGACCCGCGCATGAAGAGCGCCGTGCAGGACGACCCGCGGCTGGCGGCATGGGGAGGCGGCGCGTGAGAAACGAGAGCGAAAAGCGCGAGTCCTTCCGGCCGCAGACCGGTTTGCGTCGCGACCCACGAGTTGGGAAGCTTTTATTGAGTTTTTCTGCACTGAAAGATAGATAGATACTAAATTGCACACATATGCCCACACCGGGGCGGGCTCTGTCAGTCTCGCAGTGTCACTCGCTGTCAGTTTGTCACATCACACATGAATTGCACTTGCGACACTTAGATTATACAATATCAATAAACAAATATGCGCCTCGCGTGCGGGCGGACGCCGGACACCCTCACAGCCGTCGTGGCTCGTGCAGCTCGCACATGGGTGACATGCTCTCAAACGTGGTCGACATGCATGCTTCACTTCGAAATGTCGTTGGGAACAGGAGGTACGCTCGCCTCCTCGCCCGGCGCCGGGTACTTCAGCACCCACTGCCGGAACGCCTCCGCCTCCGGCCCTGGCTTTGTGCGCTGCCAGGTGCCGTCTCGCTGCCGGCGGCCGCCGCCTGCCGCCCACGCCTGCACTGCGGTTGCCCTGCGGCGGCGGCGCTCCTCGTACGTGGCGACGGCCGCCGGCACGTCCTCGGCCCGGAGCCGCCGTCCGCCGCCCGTGCGGTCGGCTGCGTCGCAGAGCGCCTCTGCGAGGGCCGCGGCATCCTCGAAGGCCTGGTTGGCGCCTTGGCCGGGGGTGGGGTGGAGAGCGTGCGCCGCGTCGCCGAGCAGCGTCACGCGCCCGGCTGCGGAGGACCAGGCCGGCAGCGGCTGCGTGTCGAAGATGCGCCTCTCGAAGATCCCCTCCTCCGCCGTCGCGCGAATCACCCGCAGAATGTCTCTCGCGCCGACGCCTACTCGCGCGGCGGCTCGCTCCAGTAGCACGGGGCGGTGGCTCGCGGAGCTGCCCTCGGCGGCGGCACCGGCAGCGGTCTCCGCCTCGTCGAAGAGAGAGAGGAGCCTCGCCTTGATGCCCGGCCGCCCGAGCCCTGCGCCGCGCTGCGCGTGCCCCCACGCCGCGTCCGCCTGCCGGATCTGCCAGAACAGCTCCCCCTCGCCGCAGTCGACGAGGTAGCAGGAGAGCTTTGGCGAGGCGAGGTTGAGGATGCGCGACTCGCCTGCTCGCGGTGCTCGGGGCCTCTCGTCTCGAGTGGGCCGAGAGAGGAGCGGGGGGGGGGGGCGCTCGCCTCGGGGCACCACCCGAGGGCCGGGGGTGGCGGCTATATCTCGGCTATATCTCACCTCGGGGCACCACCGGTGGGCCGGGGATGGCGGCGTGGCGCAGGATCGCGTTCCAGTTGGTCGTGCTGTAGTCGTTGATCCGCTCGAGGTCGACGCCGCCGCCGGGGCTGCCCTGCAGCGCCGCCCGCACGCGAGAGAAGAGGCCGTCCGCCCCGACGAGCAGCGACGCGCGGACGGCGACGCGGGGCGCCGCGCCGGCCGCTCCTCCCGCCACTCGCACCTCCACAGCCTCCGCGTCCTCCGCAAAGCCAGCCGCCTCGTGAGAGCACATCAGCCAGGGCGGGGATCGCCACCGGCGCAGCGCGCTGCTCAGGGCACCGAGCACGCCCCTCCCGTCCAAGGTCCACGACTCCAGAAGCCACGGCCCTCGCACGGCTCCGCCCACAGCCTCGCCCTCCTCCGCCGCAGCCATCAGCTCCTGTTGAACCTTGGCCCACGGTATAAAAAAGGCGCTGACGCCGTGTGACCCAACCTCGATGCGCCGCGTGCTCTCGCTGCCGTGGAGGCCGCAGTTCAGAATCTCGGTTGCTTCGACGGCCACTCCCCGCTTGGAGACCGCGGCTGGCAGCCGAGCCCCGCCAGCCGCCTCCAATGCCGCCAGCCCGTTGGGCCAGAGCGCAATCGTGCCCTGACTGGTGTAGCGCGCCGCGGCAGCGCGCTCCAGAACGACGACCCGAAACCCTCGCCGGCGGAGCGCAGCGCTAAGCGCCAACCCGCCCAAGCCCGCGCCGGCGATTGCCACGTCCGCCTCGATCACACCATCGACGCGTGGCACGTGCCACCGCGTCACACCGAGAATTCGCGCGAGGTGAGAGCGCAGCGCGGCGCTACGGCGCACGATGGCGGACGCGGCGACGACGCTGGAGATGAGTGCGAAGCGGCTCAGCCAGGGCGGGGCCATATACACACACGTTTGCTGGATGATGACTGTTCGACTATTGTTGCAGCAAGCGGTTCCCCCACGGATACTCGAGTACCTACACTTGAGCACTTGAGCACTGGATAGGGCCGATTCCGCGTGGTACGGGACCCCTCGATCGTCTCGCCCTCCCTCACTGGTATGTTCATTGGGGGGGGTCATAACAAACACGGTACAGGATCGAGGTGCACGCTGCCGAAGCAGTGTCGTCCCCCCTCTCCCCGACGGCGATGGCGGTGTGACCGATCGAGCTACAAGAGGAGCTTGGTCAGCAGGATCTGGGATAGTCTCGTGCACTACCTCACTGGGCCTGACGGTCTCGGGCACCGCACCCGTGCTGCCACAAAGCACAATGTGCTGCCACAAAGCACCACTAGCGATTTCGCGCGGAGGGCGTAGTGAAGTGCTGGGGCGCTCACTGTGTGTTATTCGGGTGGGGATCCATCAGTGGTAAGCGGCTTTAGTCACAGATCCAAGCTCAGACGTCACACCAACACCACAAACACGCTCACTTCGCCGCTGCTGTAGATGGGCCTCCGGGGGCCCATGCTACGTCGAAGCACAGACCCGATCTCGGCACTCACGGGCTGCCACGCGCCCGCGCGCGGCGCGGGCCGCACCGCCCATGCCCCCGGGTCACCAACCCCGCCTCTCGGCCCTCTCGGCCCTCAGGAGCGTGCGGGAGACCGGCGAGGGGCGCGCCAGATGGTGTCGAGGGGTGTCGAGGGGTGTCGAGTTGGTCGAGTTGGCATGGGGTGTCGAGGTGTCGAGTCGGTGTCGAGGTTTGGCGTCGACAGGCCAGGGCTCAGTTCTCTATAGGATTCCTAGCAACTCAGCTGAAACCGTCCACACGTTGTCGAAGGAAGACGTCGTAACGTCCCGCAAATCCCGCCGATTCCCTAATCTTAACCCCCCTGTGAAACGCGGGAATTCTCAACGCCATCCCCATGCGGGATGACATGCGAATGGAGACCTGGGCGATGCGGATCCCGGTGCAGCGCCGCCTGGGTCTCCCCCTCGACGTGGCTTGCCAGGCCGTGTCGGTGGGCAAGAAGACTCGAAACAAGAAATACCACGACGAGTTCGGCGACGCTGCTGTCAACGTTCCGCAGCAGGGCCACAACATCAAACACAAGTGCACTCTTCAGCGCCTCATCCTCGCCCTACGCGCCGCGTGGCAGGCACAGCTGTGCGAATGGAGCCGAAGAACCAACTCGGTCATAGTTACAACAAACAACCCGACGTGGACGCACAACATTCATTGGCAGGGGCGAGCGCTATCCCGGCGATCATGTCAAGGTCGTCTGCCCCCTCACCAGCAGCGGGGAGCACGGTCGGAAGGGCGCTTTTGTCGCTTTCGGCAACACCGAGGCTTTCTACCGGAACATGGTCGTGGGGCATGGGCCCTACTGCGAGGAGGGAGAGGGAGGTGGGGGGCAGGGAGAGGGGGGGGAGGGGAGTGTGAGTGTGTGAGGGCTGAGGGGTACGGGGGCGAGGGCATGGAGGGGGAGAGGAAGAGCAAGGGCGAGAGGGGGCAGGGGACGGGTCGATGGCATACTAGGGGGGGGAGGGTGGTGGGCGGCGACCGCCGCATACCGTCCTATGGCGGCGAGTATCGCTACGACAGGGAGGACAAGGACGTCGACGTGCAGCTGCTGTTGTTCGAGTCGTTCGGTGGGTTCGGGAAGGGGGTCGGCGAGATCCTCTGGAGGGCGGCGAACGCGCTGCAGAACAAGCTGACGCGGGCCCAGTACCTCGATAAGGTGACTTGGACCACCAAGAACTGGCTAGGGCTGCAGAAGCAGCGTATCTCAGTCGTTCTTCACACGGCCATCGCGAGAGCAGATTGTGAATGAGCTTGCCTGCGGCGAGGGCGGACGAGTGCACGGAGCTAAGTGCCTCGCCGTCCTCGCAGGAGTCGCTTAGGCGGCTCCCGTGGTGTACCTGTGTTAGTGCCAGTGCGCGCCAAGTCCCGTGCCCAGTGTCGTGCGAGGGAGTTTGTTGTACAATTTTTAGTCTGGTGTACCTGTGTTAGTGGATAGTGCCAGTGCGCGCCAGTCCCGTGACGATCGGCCGTCGATCCCGAAGGGTCGTCGGTTGAGCTAGGGAGCCTGGCGATGGACGCCACCGCGACCCCTCGTGGCATCTCTCTCGCCGTCGGCGAGCCGGGGGCTCGCAGACGGCCGACTTTCTATATAACCAGTAGGACAGCCGTGAGTGTGAATCGGATAAGGAGTTTGCGTCCGTCCACCGTCTTCGTGGACGTCTGTCCTCGTGACACCCACACCCCACACGGCCTGTTTTGCTTCCAGGCTCGTGCCTAGTGTCGTGCGAGGGAGTTTTGTTGTGTAAAATTCTCAGTCCCGTGCCTAGTGTCGTGCGTCGTGCGAGGGAGTTTGCTGTAAAATTCTTAGTCAAAGACAGAGGACTGCCCGGGTCCTTTTCGTTCGAAGTACGAAGACGCCGTACGCCACCCTAGGGTTCGGCACGTACTTCTATCCTCTGCCAGTTTGTCTTCATGGTCCTTTCCTCCGTCCGTCGCCGCAAAGTGTGTGAACTGGTGTGATACGTGCAGCGCGAGGCATGTCTGCGCTACTTCCTACTTTCTCTTTCACATTCAGTTCCCGGATCGGAGCGGCTCGCTGTCTTTCCCCATCTTGATTTGCGCTCCTTTGCCGTCTCTCAGCTCTCCCCCCGTCTCAAATTCGTCGTATGACCAGCGTACAGCGGCATCGGACGTATTTTCTTCTCAATAAAAGCTTCTCAATAAAAGCGATGCGGGCGAACGGACGGGAGGGCCGAGGGCTTCCGCTGGGCGTGCGCGCGTCGCGGGAGGCCCCGGGGAAGGTGGCGCACCGTGGTGTCCATCGGGAGAGGAGGGCGTTGCCCGTGGGGTTTGTCGCGGCTTGGCTGTTTGGCCGGCCAGCTAGTCAGGCGCCGTGGATGGCGGGGAAGGGGGCACGCGTTGCATAATCCTTTGAGTGCGTTGGTCTGCACGTAATTCGTAATCTATGCATCTGTTCGACTTGCAACAAGGGATGGACTCCTGCGCGCCGGCATGCTTCTCCCCGTGGCCTCAGGCTTTTCCGGCCAAGGACCTCTGCTCCAACTACCAGGGGAAAAGGTTCTTGGCCGGAAGGGGAAAAGAGAAACCACTAATTTCTGAACGCGCTTTCCGTCGTGTCCGAAAGAACCGAAAGGCGGCGTCGGACAGCCCACCGGGGCCACGCCGACGGCCGTCAGGCACATCAGACGAGTGGGAAGTAGCCCTCCTATTTGCGTCGTCCCAGGAGAAGAACGCGCGGCCCTCGACGAGCTCGCCGCGGTCCACACACGCTTCGCCTCGTCGTGCGGCGATGCACACCCTCCTGCTCCTCCCTCCGGCTCACCCTCGCATCAAGCACGTCGTCGTGCTCTACGAGGAGAACCGTGCCTTTGACCACTTCTTTGGCCACCAGCGGAGGCTCAAGGTGAACGGGCTCAAGGGCGACGAGAGCAACCCCGTCAACCCGGCCGACCCGGCTGCCGGAGCCGTCGGCGTGTCCGGCGGCGCTCCTTACGTGGCGAGGGAGCAGCCGAGGCACGGCTACGCGGCCTACCAGACCAAGCTCGATATCGTCGGCGGTGTGCCTCGCATGGACGGCTTTGTCGAGTACGAGCGGTCCGTGCATCCTTTCGCGCATCGCACGGCCGACGCGGTGATGCAGGGCTTCTCGGATGGAGCGCTGCCCGTGAGCACCGCGCTTGCAGCCGAGTTTGCCGTCTTCGACCGCTGGTTTGCGGCGTTCCCCGGCCCGTCTTGGCCGAACCACATGTTTTCGATCTCTGGCACGGCCGGCGGCGGGACAAACACCGGGGATGGCCACCTCTGTCGTCCGGGTGCGAGGTACCCGCAGCGCACCATCTTCGACTCTCTGCTGGCGGCGGGGCACGAGTACGCCCGCATCTACAACGACTCTGTCGTCGAGCTCTACCTCGAGGCGCTCCACTCCCCGGAGGCAAAGGCGCGCACGCAGAGCATGGACCGCTTCTTCCACGACGCAGCTGCGGGCACGCTGCCCGCCCTCACGTGGATCGCGCCGCGGCAGGCACACCTCGGCTGCACCTCGGCTGCACCTTGGCCGCACCTCGGCTGCACCCCTCCCTCCCGTGGACCTCGCCGGGGCAGGGAGTCAACAAGTCGCTCGGCGCGCTCGGCGGGCCAAACAGCGACCACCCCGACTGCTGCGACGTGGCGCTCGGCGAGCGGCTGCGGAAGGACCTGTACGAGGCCGTGCGGGCCGGGCCGGGCTGGAACGAGACGGCGCTCCTCTTCACGTGGGACGACCCAGGGGGCTTCTACGACCACGTGCCGCCGCCGATGGCCGCTCCGCCGCCCGACGACCAGCCCGCCTGCTTCTGCTTCGAGGGCGGAGGCGCCTCTTGCCACGGCCGCGACCCGCGAGGCCTCGACCCGTACGCGCGGCTCGGCTCGCGGCTGCCTGTCATCCTCATCTCGCCGTGGCTCGCAAAGGGCACCGTCGTCTCGGAGCCTTCGGTCCGGCCGTTCGCCGACTCGCAGTACGACGGCACGTCCATCGTCGCGACGATCAAGCGGCTCTTCGGGCTGCCCAACTTCCTGACGAAGCGCGACGCGTGGGCGGCGCCCTTTGACCACCTCTTCGACCGCCTCCCCGCCCCGCGCACCGACACGCCACGCCACCTGCCCGACGCGCCTCCGCCGACGAGGCGCCGCGGCCCTCGGCCGTACGGAACAGACTGCGACGAGCCGTCGAGGCGGATGCGCCGCGCGATCTCCACCTTCGAGGAGGCGCTCGGCGTGCGCGCGCCCGAGCGGCTGCATGCGTGCGCCGAGGCCGCCCCGCTGTGGGCCACCTCGTGTGAGGGCGGCACGATGCTCGAGGCGTCCGAGTGGCTCGCCAATGCGACGCGCGAGTGGCGCGCGGGGCCGGGTCGGGCGAGGGATGTAACACAGCAGCAAT